CTTGGCTCGTCGTATGAAATTGCGAAACGTCGTTTTTTGTCGCTTGAAAGGAGGTTGTCAAAAGACCCTCAAATGAAAAGCATGTATCTGGAATTTATGGACGAGTATGTTTCGCTCGGTCACATGTCCTCAACGGACAACAAAATTCCAGATACTCCACACTATTTTATTCCGCATCAGTGTGTTCTGCGGCCTCAAAGCACGTCGACCAAGTTGCGTGTCGTTTTCGATGCCTCTTGCCGCACGTCCACTCAGATTGCGTTGAATGATACCTTAATGGTCGGTCCAACAATTCAGGAGGAGCTTTATTCTACGCTGCTTCGTTTTCGTTTGCGAAAGTTCGCCTTAGCGGCAGACATTAAAAAAATGTACCGTCAGGTGATGGTGCACGAAGCAGATAGAAACTATCAGCTCATAGTGTGGCGAAGAGATCCGTCTGAGTCTTTGAAAATCTTCAGGTTGAACACTGTAACGTATGGCACGTCGCCAGCTCCGTTCTTGGCGGTGCGGTGTTTAACAAGGCTGAGTGAAATGGTCCGTTCCTCACATCCAACAGCTGCTGAAGTTATTCGGAGCGACTTTTATGTCGACGATATGTTAACTGGTGCTGAAAGCGTTGAACAGCTAAAAAAGCTTCGAGCAGAAGTGTCGCACGTTCTTCAAAGTGCAGGCTTCGAATTGGCAAAGTGGTTTTCGAACTGCTCGGAACTGTCCGCATTTGATAGCACAGTTATTCCAGTAGCCACAGTCGACTCAGACCCAACCAAAACGCTCGGCGTTATGTGGTTGCCGAAGGAAGATGTATTTCAGTTCCAGTTGGAAAATTCCTTCCTAGATCTCCGCTCGACAAAACGGAACATATTATCGGTGACTGCCAGGCTTTTCGATCCTCTGGGCCTTCTTTGCCCGCTGATCACCAAAGCAAAAATGTTGCTGCAAGATTTGTGGCTACAAAAACTAGATTGGGACGAATCCATCCCTGAGAATCTTCATACAGTTTGGGACTCATTTAAGCAGAATTTGTTGAACCTCAGCGGTATTCAAGTCCCTAGATTCGTCCATACAGATACGCAGTCACCCATTCAAATACATGCGTTCGCCGATGCCTCAATGCGAGCTTATGGCGCCTGTATTTATGTTCATGTTTCGACTGCGAATGGTTGGAAAGTGTCACTTTTGACCTCAAAATCCAAAGTAGCTCCACTCAAGACGAAAACTTTGCCTCGTCTTGAGCTGTGTGCAGCTCACCTTCTCGCAGATCTTTTTCGTCAAGTCCGCCCGTTGCTTAATTCTCCAATAGACAAGATAGTTATGTGGACTGACTCGGAAATAACGCTCCACTGGATCAAGTCGCATCCGTCGGCATGGTCAGTTTTCGTTTCAAACAGGGTTTCTCAAATCCAAGAGTGGTCCGAGAATGCAACGTGGCGACATGTCCCAACGAAATCCAACCCAGCAGACATCGTCTCCAGAGGATGTAATGTAGACGAGTTGCGTAGCTCCATTTGGTTTACAGGGCCACCCTTCCTCATGGAATCGGAAGAAAATTGGCCTGTGAATGCTCACTTCGAGCCGCCTACAAATTCAGCTGCCCTAGAAATGCGTAAGTCTGCTGTAGTTTTACTCGCAGATCGGCAAGCCAATTATATTCTCGAAGTTATCGAAAGCTACTCGTCACATTCAAAATTGCTGAGGGTGTTCGTTTGGGTTTTTCGATTTATACAAAGGTGCAGAAAGGTCTCGAAGCCCTTTGATCCTATAGCCAAGCCAAGCGAACTCAATTTGGTATTCAACAAAATTGTTCAAGTCATCCAGGACAATGAGTTCGGTGACGAAATTGACAAGATTCGAAAAAAGAGAACACTAAACGCTAACTTACAGCGTCTGAGTCCATTTCTACATGAGTTTAGAGAAGACGGTTTCTTGTTTTCCTTGCTGAGAGTGGGGGGAAGATTATTAAATGCTCCTATCCCGTATGAAGCCAAGTTTCCGTTGTTGCTTTCTAAAAAGTCGCAATTCATAAGATCCTACGTATCTTATTTGCATGTGTCAAATTGCCATGCTGGCCCTAGATCGCTGGTGAGCCTGCTTCGTGAGCGAGTTTGGCTGGTTAACGCTCAGGAAGTGTGTCGCCGAACAGTACGTTCGTGCATCCTCTGCTTCAAATGGAAGCCCCGGTTGGCCTCCCAAGTAATGGGAAATCTTCCGGCAGACAGGCTCCAGCCGTTCCACCCGTTCGAAGTATGTGGTGTTGATTTTTGTGGCCCTATAAGCACAACGCTCCGCATCCGTGGCAAGCCACCGTATAAGTCGTACGTGGCTCTTTTCGTTTGTTTTGCCTCGAAAGCGGTTCACTTAGAGCTTGTGTCAGATCTAACCACTGATGCTTTTCTCTTGGCTTTTGAAAGGTTCGTCGGCAGGAGAGGCGTTCCTCGCAAAGTTTACTGCGACAACGCGACGAACTTCGTGGGAGCCGACAGGAAGCTGCAGGAGTTCCGAGCGAGATGGGAAAAGGAGGCGGAAGGCGTACGCGAATTCGCATCAAGAAAAGGATGCGAGTTTGCGTACATACCACCCAGAGCGCCTCACTTCGGCGGTCTATGGGAGGCAGGTGTCAAGTCTGCAAAGCACCTGTTCCTACGGACGGTGGGCAATGCGCTCCTGACCGCAGAAGAGCTCGGAACACTCCTGGCGAGCGTCGAGGCCGTGCTGAACTCTCGGCCACTGGGACCACTCAGCGCCGACCCCAGCGACGGCGAGGCGCTAACCCCGGGCCACTTTCTAATCGGACGGCCTCTTCTGGCGACTCCAGCTCCACCGCTCCCGGACATCGACAGCCAAACCTGCTTAAGGCGATGGCGCAATGCCTCGTGTCTCAAGCACAGGTTTTGGCAGCGATGGTCCCGGGAGTACATTTCGAGCCTCCAGGTGCGAGCGAAGTGGTTCCAGGAGGAACCCAACGTCGTCGTGGGACAACTCGTCGTGGTGGCCGAAGACAACGTGCCGCCACAAAAGTGGGTACTTGGCAGGGTCACCACAACTCACGCCGGGACAGACGGGAAGGTGCGGGTGGCCGACGTCGCCACGAGTAGTGGCAATCTACGGAGGGCTATTCATCGGCTGGCGCCATTGCCCGTTGAAGGACGATGTCCCTCCAAGGGGGCCGGTGTTGGCGCAGATGCTGCTTTAGATTAAGATAGTTTAAGAGAATTATTTGAATTTTAATTTAGGGCGAAAAGAGAGCGCGAGAGCGGCCGTTTGCGGACGTCGCCTCGCGCCCTTTTTTCGCCGCCTTAGGCTTAGTTTAGCATGTAAGCCTAAGTTGAAGTCAGTTGTAAAATAGAACTAAATATAAGCACAATTGTCGCCAAATCGTTCGCATTTCTCCGCATAAAAGTCGATAAAAGCAAGCATCCCATTTTCTTTGTTTTTAATAATTTATATAAAATAATATAAATTTTCAGTATCCTATTTTTTAAGTACGAGGAAATCCATTTCAAAAAGTCTGAGGGAAATCCCATACAAGTTAGCTTCAAGAGGAGGAGGTCGTGATTCACAGAATCAAATGCTTTGCTGAAGTCAGTATATTTAACATCAGCTTGCATCATTTATCGAAGATGTAAATTCCAGTAGATTAGTCGTTGCTGACCGATTTTCAAAAAATCCATGCTGAGCAGGGGAGATTACAATCATGCTGTAAAGAGGAAGTAATTATTTTTTCAAATAATTTAGGAATGGCAGAAAGCTTAGCAATGCCTCTACAGTTGGATTCCACTCTCAAGAGACAGATTAAAAAGCTTAAGCAACGGTTTGCAGAGGGAAGAACTTCACTCTTTGAGCGCGCAACTAGGAATGTTGTCAGGGCCAGGAGAGAATGAAGCTTTTACAGATTGTATATTAGATAAAATACAAGATTCTGTAATTATTGGAGCAAATATAGAATTTGAAGGCATAATGCGGAAGGGGTAAGAAGTACCGTTAAAAGAGTCGGAGCAGTAACGGCAAAACGTTTTATAAATACAAAACCAGCTGCTTCGGCCTCTTTTCCGCTAAACAATGGATTCACTTTGTTGCATTTGAATAATTAAGCCATGCCAAAACTGTGGTTACACATTGAGGCAATTTTCACATTAATTTCCATTTCAAATTACGTATAATCTAAAGTTTTAGTAGATCTAATATAATATAATTTCAAAGTTTTTGGAAATGACCGCAAATGATAAAAAAGTTCTTGTACAACATTTGAAATCTATTTACCAGAGTAACACTCTAAATAATCTGCACTGTGAGGATGGACGCACGACCACAGATACATGGATGCAAATTGACATTTGGTATACTCTAGTAAATAATGGGCAACCATATAGGGCTTCTGGAGTATATGAAGTTCAATGACGAGGATTTTAGCTTTACCATTGTTCCATTGGCTGCTGTGAAGGTTATTTCTTGAAACATTCCCTCTTGTGAGCGTCTTCCAATGGGACTGTATTTAAGACAAACCTCCTGCCATCCAAATCGAATTTGCAGATAATTAGGACATTTTAGGATTTTACTCTTTCATAATGAATTCGTCTAAAGTGCGCGGAAGTAATACTGAAGAACTATTCATGGAGCGAATTAAAAGAGATACAAACTAAATATAGCAGAAAAATAGAGAATAAATTTATGAAATACCTAGTAAAAGACACGAATAGGTTCAAACATCTTACAAAACTAGAATGTGCTCGGTTTTATTGATCTATGTGGACCTAGAGCATACCAAGAATTTTCAACTGCTCCTAAAAGTATGTTAATTTTCCATCAGACATTTTATTGATCTCCGTGCGGACTTAAATTGAAACTTAGACGAAACGAAGAACTACGAGTACGATTTGTAGCTGATATTGACGCACTCTGGAACTATGAACTAAAAGCTACGAATACATACGCTAGAGACAAAACTTCGTTGGTATTGCCAGAACTATATACAACCGCTGCCAATCCGTCTTCATTGGCCGGCATCAATCTATTTGCCCCTTGTGCCCGATGTAAGAGTCGTAGAGTGAAGACTCTTTGCGCCGCCTCAGACGTGAGCAGGCGATGAAAAGCGTGACTGAAAGCACGCAGAGAAGCGCTGAGCCGCTGGCAGTCAGCGCTGAGAAGGTAGACGTCTTCAGACACGTCTGGTGCGCGTTCGTCTTCTCGTGCCGGCGCGCATATACATCGTCGCCATCGGACTCGCCCTCCTGAAGCACGCGCAGCGATTGGAAGAGATTCACGTTCTCGGAGAGCGAAGCCTGCGCAGGACTGCCGGTACTGCTCGTGCTAGCTTCCGCGGCCAGAGGTGGCAAAGCCAGATTTGTGGCTGTCAGGTTGGATGTGTCGCGCTTAGTGACCGCTTTGAGATTCCGCCAGTGACAGGGCTGGCTCTGTAAAATCAAGATCGGACATCGTTAATGGGAAATTCCGACTCTATGACTTCTCCACTCACTGGACAGCGCCCGTGGCACATGCGCACATCGCACTCGATATAAAGCGCCGGGGAGCCTGTGAAGCGAAACGTTTTCATGTATGCATACACCTGGGTCTCGTACACTCCCGAATCGGACCAGGAACCACGGAAGCGTGAGATAAGTTTGTCGTCCACCGGACAGCCGTGCTGGTCGATGAGCTGAATGCGTTTGTTGGCTCCATTGTGAGCATAACAATCATTGACCACAATATCGAATCCATCTGAGAAAAAAGGTAATCAAGGATATTATTGAAGCAAGGATATGTTCAAAATTCATCGGAACTATCGAAAAATCAAATTAGCTAATATCTCTCTATTAACAGCAACTAAATTGTATTCGCCTGGGACATTCAAAGCCTATTAATTCGCATTTTATGGACATTAAACTTGTACAAGTAAATATGTTATTACTTTCTTATTATTTGCCCACTTCTTCTTTCTTCTTCTAATTGACAATAATATTTTCCACGTAACTCATCTAAAAGTATAATTTCTAATCTTTCCCCTGTTAATAAAAATTATACATTTGTTTAATTATTTGTTTAAAAACTAAATGTTAATATTTATTATAAACCGTAACCTTAAGCTATAGCTTGTCAGCTTTAAAACAAGAGAGAACGCTACAGTCGAGCAAGCCGGACAGTAAAATAGCCTGTACTCTCCACACAAACGGAAAATTAAGAAAAAATTAAAATATTTAAAATAATTGAATTAATTATTTAAATTAATAAAGAAAATTTATGTAATACATACATAGAAGACATGTTTATGTACAGTTTTAATAGCATACATTTACATCGTCGTGTCTATGCGTGTTTATATGCGTGTATGTATGCAGCACAAAGTTGAAACAAAACAGCAACAACTTCAACAGCTGCGGGCAGAGCTGCAGCCAGCGCATGAGCAGTGATTTTATTTATGGCTATAACTTTCTTCAGAATTGACCTATCATGATGAAACTTGGCACACGGACACATAAGCACTAACTACCAAAATTGATTCCAAGAATTACGGAAGTTATAAAAAAAACACGAATTGTGGGGTAGTGGGGAGGGGGGGGGGTGTATCAAAATAAATAAAAAAACAAACTTGACCTGCCTACAGACTATAACAATAAAATTTTATTGGCATAGCGAATATTTTTAATTGAATAGAAAAATTGTTTAATTATGTATATGCGAAATAATCGTTACGAAGATTTAGATGAAACGTATTTAAGTCGATTTTAGCTGGCTCACCATATTTGCTGCGCATGTAGATAATGAGTGTGAGCGGATCGCCAACACGCACTGGCCCGGTGACACGGGGACCACCAATGCCATACCCGTTCTGAATTTCCATGTAGCACTCCGGAGGACTTAGTGTGAATACTACGGGGTTGCCGGTAGCCACTCTGCAAATACATATTGCTGTAATAGATACTAAGAAAAATTGGAACATGTAGCATTTACTCGACGTCCAGAAATGGAAAGGTAACAGTCTTCCAGAAATCATAGCCATATTCACAGGTGACCTTGAAGTGTTCATCGAACTCTTCTTCAATAAGCGGATTGTACTGCACGGTGACTGTGTTCCACATAAAATTCTGCCGATGGAATTATTTGTTACAAATGGGAATTCGCTATAACGCGAGACTTCCGATACGCACCGTGGGGTTCTTGCGATTTTCCTCCTGCAGTGAGTTTTTGCCCAGAGTGCCACATCGATTGAGTTGAATGTAAAACTCGTAGTAGTCACGTCCAGACCCATTTATGTACATGCAGTCCGGATCGTACGCATAACCGGCCGAATAGAGCAGTCCACTGAAGGAGCCATTGAAACCGATACGAATCTTCATGTAGTCGTCCTGGCATTCCGCCTCGATGTCTGCGGCCATATGAGTTATCAGTAAAAACAATTTCCGCACCGGAACAAACTACTTACGTTGCACGCGAGTACTGTTGTGCACGTACTGATGACCCGCGTACTCTTGCTCCCAATATTCCTCATGCCATTTGTTGCCTTCAAAGGGTACGGCATGATAGCTCCCGCTGCCACTTGGTGCCCCACTTGAATCGACCCCAGTTGATCCGTAATCGGAGTGTGGCGGTAGATGAACAGGTTGCCCAATTCGCTGCGGCACATAACCCGAGGATTCGGGCACATGATCAGACTAGAGAGCGAAATGTTAATTAACAGTTGACTGAAGAGCCTCGATAATCACTCACCACATCATGTTGTAGTTTGTTGCGATCCAAGGCCACACTGCTGCGATTGCGCACATCCTTGAAGGACTTCTTTTGCTTAACCTCTGCCAGTGCACCTGCGCGTTTGGCTATCTTTGAGGGTTGCGTGGGGGGTCCTGATATGTAGGACTTGGAAGAGAGTGCCACAAGCTCCTGTTGTGGCTCGTCTGCCACACTAGCCGCCAGCGGGCGACTGCTGCGATTGCTGCCAATCCTAGGTGTGGCCGTTGTGGTCTGTATCTTGCCCTTGAGCTTACGCAATGGTGGAGCTGCCGTTGTCGTAGCCACCGCGGATTTGCTCACTATGGCGTACTCAGTGCTTAGCTCGTTTCCACGCGCCCAGTCTCCGTGTTGCTGTGCAAAATTAATCAAAATTTAAGTCAAGGCTCGTAAAAGAAATTAAAATGAGAGTTATTTTAAAATATAAATAGCTAAAATATATGGTATATTAATTCGGCGAATGTTATAAATTCCTTTATTATTGAAATATATCTGAAGGCTCTAAATTCTACAAACTATTTCATGCTATATACTCTATAAATAATCTACTCTATTTATTTACATTTCTATGAATTCTATTGGATCATTTTTATAAATTCTATAGACTGTAGATTGAATAATTTGTAATTGTAATTGAATAAACAAATTTTTAAGTTTCTTTTAAATTTGATAAAAATTATGGATACACTCAGAAAGAATACAAAAATATTTTCATATCCAATTCATTCCAATTCTATTATTTTGTACTTGAAACAAAAAAGTATTATAATTTGAATAATATTTACAACAATTGTGTCTCTGACGTTTAAGTGTGTCACATGCATATTAAAAAAGTTTTTTAAACATATACACACACTGCATATAAATATAATAAAGTATGTCCTCACGAATCATCATCATTCAAAACAATTAATACTGTTGGTGTAGTAGAAAATAAGTAGAGAAGTTAAAGTCGGGTCTCCCGACTTTGATATTCATATGTGTAGAATAATTTTGCGTGCATGTGTGTGTTTGTGTGCGTCTGTGTATGGCTGTGTATGTCTCGTGTGCCTGTGCAAAGCAGTAACAACAACAACAGCTGCGGGCACTGCTTGCTCATTTATACATACATGGCTATAACTTCTTGTTAAAACTTGGTGTCCCTAGCTCTTATAGTCTCTGAGATATAGGCAATCATACGAACGGAATATCGGGAAATCCCCCATAGAGAGGAAGTGGGGGCTAAAATCAATCAAATAAAACAAGCGCTTTGTGTCTCTAACTCTTATAGTCTCTGAGATCCAGGTGTTCCTACGGACAAAGGGACAAACAGGCAGACAGACAGGGCTAGATCGACTCGTTTTATCATGCTGATCAAGAATACATATCCTTTGTGGGGTCAACCAGGCCAACCAAGTATACCATTTTAAGCTTTGGGTAAAGGCTATAAAAATGAAGATGATCCTGAATTATCACATTTTATGTGCTTGATAACAAATATGATATATGTAATGGATGAATAACGTACATGCTTATGTTATATGTACATATATATGCATAAATAAAAACTTCAAGATTATTTGTTACCTATGGCTTAACCGCATTAACGTACCGTATCAACTTATCTGAAAACTTTGGTATATTTACAAAGGTTAAGAACCATTTTAGCAACTTTCATTGTTTTAATAATATAATGTGATTTGAGCTGCAGTTTTTTTTATTCAAAAAAAAAAAAAAAAAAAAAAAAAAAACAAGTCACTAGACCTGTAAATTTAGGTATTCTTCATTGCTCTACAATAATAACAGTGAACACAGCCTTTTGTTAAGAAAAATAATGTACAATATGTTATCTTCCACAGCTCCTTGTCCTTGTCAATTGCAAGTTTTTAATGTAAATTAGACTGTCTAATTAGATTGTCTAATACATGTGACACTTAAAAATATAATGAATAGTTAAATAAATACGTTTGTCAACACAATTTGGCTTCCTTATCCTGTTACTTAAAATACAATTTGTTCTAATTTATGAACTGATTTTATCTGCTTGATGTTTTCTTTTTATTTTCATTTTTAATTTCGCACTTTTGTCATTTATGATTTAGATTTTCTTTTTATTTTTATTTTTAATTTTATAGATGTGGAGACTAATTCATGGAACTCTGTCGATGTAAATGCTTCGATAAAAGATATGAAGACGCTTAGTTTTTTGGAAATAATGATATGAAAACGTTTAATTAAGTACATATACTCTTGTACATTTCATGTAGAGAGAATACAAATTCATTCAATTGCAAACAAATTTGTAAGCCTAAAAAAATCGTTCTTTATCCATTCGTTCATTGTTATGCGGTTTCACGCATATTTTTGTAGAGTGCGTGCGAATGGCACGCGTGGCGTATGCGCAATATGATGAATCTAGCAAGTTTCTGTCTTAAGTTGTTTGTTTTATGATCGCAGCCGAAAAAATGCTGCATCAGCCACATACAAAACAACAAGTGCGGCAACAGCAACAGAAACTGCAACAACAACAACAACAGCGGCATCAACATAATTTTCCACATTGCCACGCTAGTTTTCCGGTGGACGGCATTTGGCTGAACTCGCCAGCAAACACGTAGCAGGTAACGCTAACAAGTGCTTGGCAGTTGCTACGCAATAGGGCAGCCGCATATCTCTTGGGCACCGATTGGCCAACGATTGGTTACGGTTCATGTTGCATGCTTGCATAGGCGAACTGCTGAAGATCGGAGCGGAGTAGAGTCATCTACTCGTAATGAGGAAGTTCATTCTTAGAATGTTGCCGTTGTCTATCAATGCGGTTTAACTGTTAAATAGATTAGTTTTTGTCTGACTGCCTCCCAGCTGAGCTCGTGCACTGCTCGTGTATTGTTCTTGGCCAAAACAAAAGACTTAGGCAACAAACTTGCTTGAGCAATGTGGCCAATGTGGCGGAAGTCCCATTCTGGGTCTCTGACTGGAACTTGGACTGGGGTGAAAGGCAATGGCAGATGCTCCTTAGTCACTCACTCATTCACTCACTCACACACACACACACACACACACACACACACACACTCACCGAGTCGCTTACTCACCTGTAGCAGCAGCAGCAACAACGGCAATGCAAATCTCCAAAGCGCCATGGTTCAGTCTGAGCGCGTCGCTGTCTGGGCGGCTACTGGTGTCGACTGCAAGAGGCATGGAAAAGTCATAAGTCTGCTCCCGGGCATTTAGTCAGTGGTGCAGAAATTCCGCACGCGTATCTTTCACGTGCGAAGCTGCCACTACCTCTCTGTCACTGACTCTCCCTCTCTCTCTCTCTCTCTCTCTCTCTCTCTCTCTCTTTTTTTTTTTCAATTGTTATGCAATTATGCAGAGTGTACTCGGGTGGGCGAGTAGCGGAGAAGGAGCGGGGCCAATAAATATGGTATATGGCTTCCAGTGTAGCAACGCACGACCTTGCTAGTGGTCACTGAAGTGTTGTGCTGATAAATCAGCCACACCAAATGCGTAAAACTCAAGTACACGTCGCGGACGGAAGGAAGTTTGTGGTTCATAAATTAATTGTGGTCAATATGCAGAAAGAAGCAAGACATGAGCAACACATCAGAAGCAACAAGACTAGCATCAATGTCGTGCTTTGAACGGAAATAGGCAGCTACAGTCATATACTCGTACAACATACCGCTGGCAGAACATTGGAGAGTGGCGCCGCGCGTCTGTCAGCCGTTAAGGTCAAAGGCATAAAACGACAGTTGGTTTAATTAGGCAGCCTAAGCATACATACTTACTTGTAAGTATGTACTATATGTACGTATCCTCTCTCTCTCGCATTGTGCTTGAACCCAAATTACATTTTAATGAATGGCATGTTGGTTGCGGCTCTGCCACTGCCCTTGCTGCAAACCACCCACATGCGAACCAGCCCCACCCCCCACCCTTTCCCCCCTGCAATGCCGCATCTGCGTTCGCTTCGTTGCGTTTACGTTTACGCTTAGCTGTAAACTCAAACGCAAAGCGCACGCCGTTTGCTTAATTGCTGTTATAATTACTTAAACTTCTTGTAGTTTGTTTTACACGTTGAGCGCGCGCTGTTATGCAATAGTTTTGGCCACTCGGCTGTGGCGTTGGTGGCGGTTGGATTTGCTTTTCAGTTTTTGACTTGGACGGCTTTCAATATTTTTGTTGTTGTATTTTTTTGTTTTTTTTTTTTTTTTTTTTTTTTTTTGGCGCGTTCTTCAGTGGCGGCAACGACCAGGTCTTCTTCTGCTTTGTTGGCTGCGGCTTTTTGCGTTATAATTACATTTAATTGTTTTGTGGCCGCCTGACCTTGAGCCGTTTTCGCGTTGCTTTTGTTTACAAAGTCGCTTGGCGCATCGTACATTAATTGGAAATGTTAACGGTTCATTTTAGTTTAACCCGCTTTGCGCGTTTATTGCACAAGCGACATACACAAACACCCACATTTCGAATCACAGATATAAACGTATATGGAGTATTTTAGATATGAGCACACATATGTAGGAAATGTCAAGTATAAGTTCTTCGACTTTTTAATCATTTCATATCCGTGCAAGGATATCAGCAGCGTTCTCGCTGCATTTTTATGGCTCACCTGATCAGATAAATTATTTATCACTCACAGCAGCTACTTTATTGCAAGCTAAAATTGTTCAAATCTGGCAAATGCCGGTAGTTAGTTAGTTCTAAGGGCTTTCTGGTGCTCCCAGATTCCAGTTTTTCATGCTTTTTCCACTTTTTAAGCCACAATATATCCCTCAACTAGCAAGCAATACAATTTCGCGCTGCGGTACTCGTATACATCCGACTCTTTGTACGATCATTTGCAGACTAAAGACAGCGTCGAATTCGAAGTGGCTGCTGGTCTAACTGTTGGTACTTCTTAAGGCTGCTCGGCTTGGTGCTTCGGCTGCTTACCATCAACAGATAGAAGTACGACTTCGGGCCTCTCTGCTATGGCGATATGGCATGCATGCGTGACCAATGAAAATCAAATGCAAATCTAGCTGTGACGTCAGACGTGCCCGAATTCGGGCAAGTGCCGAAACTGACCTGTCCAATGTTTTGCTTTTTGTGGCTTTTTTCACACTTCAGATCACCCGCACACGCACTTTGACCAACTGGCACCAATGTCTTGGCCCATTTCGGGGGAACGCGGCAACAAATCTAAACAGCACTAAAATTAAAAATTGACGAGCCGTGCCGTGCCATGCCAGGCCAGGCAGGCCAGGCTACAAAACAATTTCAATTGCATAAGAGGCACCTCATGCACGTATGAGATGAAATATAAACCTCTTTGCAGGTATGAACTGCTGACGAGGTAGAAGAAACGATCATTAAAGACGATTATGATTAGCTTAACATTTGCATTTTTTAATTTGTTGTAAAACTTAATTGTGCATTCGGACCTTTGCGAAACTACTTTAAAATAGTCTGCCGAGAGGTTTTGTATTTTATTGCCGGGATTAAGCAACATAAGTATGCAGCCTAAATCTCAGATGCTAACATATATTAAAAATATGTATAATTAGGTTAATTGATTCAAATTTCCCAAATTGTTTATGATCAAGTCAAATGATAGCGATACCGATATAAATAAAAATAATGAAAATTTCATATAAAACAAATTTTGTTTGATCATTTGATCATAAATAAACGAAATCATACACGTGTACACACAACAAATTCAACTGATATTTGTAAAGGCGTGTTGAGAAATAAATATATCAAAATAACATTTTTCACTTCTTCGTTTCTTTGTATACACATAAATAAAGGAAATTATTATTTTATATTAAAATAAAGTATACTAGAAGGGCACATTTTGGTATTAAGGAGTATTTTTTTTATTTAACATTTTTAGTATTTTCTATCGCAATTGATGCAAAATTGTACCTTACGGTTAAAGTCAGGGACTTTAATCTTTGCTCAAAAATAATGATTATTGGTTGAGTTGTAAAGTATATCTCCAAATTAATTATTATATTGTGAGAGGAAGAACAATAATTAAAATTAATAAATAAAACCATGATGTCATCCTAAGAGAAGGACATTTGTATAATCCTCGTTTTCGTCAAAAAACGAAATAATCATCATCATTTTTGGCGGTCCGTGGTTAAAATATTTGATAACAGTGCAGCCTTGCAGTTAAGTTCGAAATTAAAGCTTAGTGGTGAATATATATGTTTAATTGTATTAAATTTGTCTCGTTGCAAATATTCTTTTGGATAATGCTGTTGCAAATAATCGAAAAGGTTCGCATCGTGGCCATAAATGTTGTTTGCCTGCATCCGATACATGTAACATCAATATTTAATATTGGCACTCATTAAAAGGGCTGTGTAAGTCTTATAGACAACTTAAAGGCGTTAATTCTTTTGCTTATATTTTCGTTTTCTTTAAGATTGTTATTCCATTTTTATGAAGAATTTCATAGATCAAACAATGTAAACACTATTTTTCGCGACTAACTTTCAACAACAAAAAGCAGTTTTAGTTTAACTAAAAAATTTAATTTAAAAAAATGTCTGCTGTGTAAAAACTTTTGGCCAATTCTGTATATGCATGAAGTGAAAAGTATTTATAAGTATGTATATAGTATAAAACTCGCCACTAATAGTTCAATTTCCGTTACCTTTATTCCTTATTACTGCTCCAGCAATCGCATTGTCCACTTGTAGTTCGAGTTACGCTGGAAAGCTACACATATATGTATGTATGTTTTTGGCAAAGAAGGTACTATTGATTCGTATCGGTACTGCGATAGAGAATACACGAAACACAGAAAATAAAACACTTTAGTAATACATATAAATAATAAAGGAAAAGGCAACAAAAAACAAATTGTTGAATGCGCATTATTACTTGTCATGACATACTTACAATAATAATATAGAGGTACTCCATGAAAAGTTGATTATTTATTAATTCGGTCGCAAGTCCACTATTGCGTATCTGAAGAAGGACAATTTCACACCGTGCGCGTGAGAAGGATAACATATCATTATCCACTTAGAGCAGACGACGCCTCCTTTTGGAGTATGTGTCCGTCATGTCTATAAAAGCTGAAGTTTTTTGGTAGCTTACACAATTCGTTAGAGCTTGGAGATGTTGAAGTGGGTGACAGATCGTGTTTTTCCATCGGAGCCAGCGACAGGTCGTCTAGGCTCTGTAGATTTTAACCTATGGTTGGCCCAAATAGTTGGTGTGCCCTTAAACGGAATGCGAGGGGAGGCGCGCTGGGTGCAAATAGTTGCCTTGATCTATGGACTACCAGTACTGCTCTTTGTCGCAATTATTTACTGTGGATGTGAGTTGTACGATTTGCTGTTAAACTTGCACAGCTTGAACATTTTCACGCAAAATATTTGCCTGTCGTTGACCCGTTTGGCGGGGCTTTTTAAGGTAAGTCGAAAGGGTCTACGTCTTGTGAAATAATTTATATTCTTGCTTCAAAAAGATTTCAAATACTTTTTACTGCTATGCGGATATAAAATATATTATTGAGCAGTTTCGTGAGATGACCAAGAGATATGTGCAATCTACGAAACAGGTTTGTCTGCAGGCGACATCTTTAAGCGCACATTATACTTCCCCTATTTTCATTTTAGAAGAGAGCTTTCGATAGAGGCGAGTTCGCAAACAAAGTACCACTTATGATATATTCAATATTGGTTTCCTTTACCGGCTTTCTGGGCATGTGGATGCTTATCCGCAGTAAGATTTTTATTTTGTATTTCCAAAACGACCTCTATTCGCCCTTGTTCTTTAGACCCCATCGATGTAGCGGGAAAGGTATTTCCATTTAGAGTTTATATGCCACTCTGGTTGCCCAATGGAATTAAACTGGCGTATATGAGCTTTTCCGTGATAATTTCTGCTCTGCAAATTGTAGCCATCGACTACTTGAACATAACACTGATGAATCAGATTTGTCTCCAGCTGCAGATTTTGAACTTGACGTTCGATGAGTTATTACCACTGGACATAAATCCTCTAGACGAGAAGTCCTGCGAGCCAGATCCGAATATGACATTGAGGGCTGCTATAAAACATCATTGTGAGCTACGTGCGTAAGTTGAAGATGTTGTTATTTTTATACCGAAATAGATTCTCTTATTACAAATTAAACTCAGTTTGGGGCTACACATTGAAATGGTGTATAGGACACCAGTTCTCATTCAATTTGTGGCATCGTTGGTCATATTTGGCGTGACTGGCTTTCAGGCTATTGTGACACCAGCCGGTTCTAATGGTGCCGTCCTAATTTATTTTTATTGTGGATGCATCTTCTGCGAGCTATTTCTTTACTGTTGGTTTGGCAATGAAGTTCACGAACAGGTACTTTTAAAAATAGAGAAATATCTCTTGAATCCTTAACAGCGTTTTCTTTTCAGAGCAAAACTCTAGCATCAAGTGCATTCAGTGCGCCCTGGTATCGATTTGATAGAACTTATCAGAAGTCACTTCTAATATTTATCACAAATGCACAGAAGCCGTTCCTATTTACCGCTGGCAGCTTTATGGGACTATCCCTACCCAGTTTTGCAGGCATACTAAGTAAATCCTATTCCTTTATTGCAGTATTGCGGCAAGTTTATAGCAAATAGTCGATCAAAAAACGTCAACCATACTGGTATACCTGCAAGCGATTTAAAATTTTAGTAGTGGATTTCAAACAGCTCGTCACTAAATGGTCGCCCCAACTTGCAAGAACCTGTATCGATCGATGGTTCTTTTTAGACTATTGATAGAAAGGTATTTTTTTTTTAGTTTAAGTCAAAATAAGAAATACATATAAATCACTTGCAGCAATAACACTACTTTATGTTGCAGGATGAGCAGTTGAGGTTCGAAACACAACAAATATTTGATATATTATATAAAAATATTCATTAAACTTTCGCATTAAAGTTCACGAATTAAAATTGTAAATTACTTATAGTTTTATTAATCCTTTGGCGCAAGGATTTTGTTTTAGTCACCAGTGCAGAGGTCGATTAATCCTGAAAAAAGTGAATATAATTACGTACGTACAATATTAAGTATTAATAAGTACGCCCTAAAAAACTTTTGGGATTGGACTATAGTATTTTATTGTCAGGTTTACTTGACTCTATCATTCTTCCTTGATATACATTCTAACCTTTAACAAAAACAGAAAATAAACATTTATTAATGTAAACAAAATAAATGTAGGTGTTTTGGGTTTCATATACCGATCTTAAATATGTTTTTTATACGAAAACATTTACGTACTGTTTGCTTTTGAAAATTCTCCTTAATTATATTTTTGGGAACGAACGAATTTGTATATCTTGTAACTTAAAAGGTACAAGAGTATATTAGGTTTGCGGAATTTAAAAATTTAGTATATCAGTGTGTAACTCAGAATTTTCCTCCTTCTTCTACTGCCCCGTTATTAGTGAATTTCTGTAACTCCCGTAATCAAATACCTTTATAAAGTTATTATGTGTTTGTATGTCAAGTTTCATTATGATAGGCCGCTCTTAAAGAAGGTTAGAGCCATAAATGTAATCTCTGCAGCTGTTGTTGTTGTTGTTGTTGCTGACTTGGCTTACTTCCAATTTCGCCACTAAGTTTCTTACCTCGTCAAGAGGTTTTTATATTAAATTATGTATAACAGCGTTTAAAGTGTAAAATGCTGACATACATACATATTTATTTCTCGCAGCATAGAAACTTGCAGCTGTTATGTTAAAATTTGAAAGCTAACGGATAAGCTCTCAGATAACAGAGAGCTTTTGGGAAGCTCTTTAACAGCGCTATGTTAAGTAACAGAGAAGACAAAGATGCGACAGCGGAGCGGCGAAAAACTTTAGTCCATTCAAGTCGCCCTTTCAAGAAGTGCGCTCTCGGGTAACCAACAAAATATTGTTGGAATACAAAATAATTTCAAATCGGTCGTTTCGAGATCACTGAGTATCGAATTGGAAGTTTCTGGTGTGTGTTTGTGCTAAGCATTTTGGAATTTATCTAAGCAAATGTTTACATATTTGAAAATGTTTGCAGATGTTAAATTAGTTACGCGAAAAATGAGTGGCAGTGCTATATTAAGCTTTAAGAGATTCCTGTAAATGAACAACGTGTGGTGTAGTTATTGGCTTCGTCCTCCTCTGACGCTCGATGGTCGACTTTGCCACGCATTTGGTAGTCAAGGCCAGTTTTGGAGCTGCTTCCAGCCTGGCCTTAATTTTCGCAAGATTCGATTCAACTCGATTGCCTGCCTTTTAATTTTAATGCAATTTTATTTATTCCACCTCAATCTGAATGCTGCTTTGTGTATGCTTAATGAATTCGCTGAAAATCATTTTACGAGTATGTTTTGTAGTTTATATTGTTTTCTGGTAATGTTTGTAAAATATGAATATGAATCTTTTGACAAAACTCATGATTTTGCCGGTACTTAAAGCTCAATGCTAAATGGTGAAACCTGTTTGTAAACTTCGAATTGACAATGCCACAAACTGAAGAAAAAACAATAACAAAAACAAATCAACAGCAACGGGGCGATGGCAACCTCAAATCATATTTCGGGAATACCGTGAGGTCCGCTCCCCTCCCCTCCCCGTCACCACCCACACTCCTCTTTTTGCTTTATACGTAGGCACGTCTCTGTCGTTAAACAATACTTAATGGATAATGGTTAATAAATTCGTACTTGTGGGGTCACTTAAAACGATAAATACGCCAAATGTGTAATGCCATTTCAGTTCTGATACGGATAGGCCATACACAATAAACTCCCAGTGGACAAGTACAAATGTATAATTAGGCGTCTGGTTCATTTCAGTCGCTTTTACATATGGTGTAATCTTATTTTTTTTAGGAAATAATAAAAACAGAAAAACGCCCCACAATCTTGGGCAATAAAAATATGATTTGGTTTTATTCGCTTGTAATGAAATGATAAACATAACTACAGTACATCAAATCTCGACGGCTGGATCACGTTCACCGACTCTAACATACACTATAACCACTTTAGACGAATATGCTATATTAAATAAATTTGTTCATCGGGATTAAATCGAAAAAGAGAACAGAAAATCGACTTACTTTAGCAGGTTTCGTTATTGTTTTCTATATTTTTAAAGTTATTTGCTCTCGTATTAATCGATTCTGTTTCAAATTAAAAGAAAACAGCAAATTGATATGTAATTGAATTTACTTGAAAAATAATCCCGTTTGAAATTTGAACGTAGTCGTTTGAAAAGATAAGAGAGCAATCGAAGCTCCTATACACTCCTAACTTTTTGAAAACCTAGAGCATATTACACTTTTTATAGTAATTTAATCTTCACAAAACGTTAAAACGTTTTTAAAGTACAACTTTTTAAAAGTTCTTCCACGTTAAATTGATTTTTCTGCAAGGAAAAATATCACCTTGATTGGCTTCTCTGCAATTGTCTCTCGTTTTTACAATTTTAGAAAAGAGTTTATAAAATCGAGAGTTTAACAAACAACAATTTTTAAAATTTAAATGTTCAGTTCCAAAATGTTTAAAAGGGTATGCGGGGCTCGGCTATAGACTGTTTGTTTTTTGCTGCTTTTTGCATTTCACGCTCACTGGATTTTAATGATGCGTAGGAAGACAGATAATAGGTTAGCCTTACTATACAGTTATTTTGCGCCTGTTTTTTCATAGTTGATACTACAAAATGCAAAAACAACTGTTGCTGGGCTAGGCATCCGATAAAAAATAAATAATATAAAGAAAATATAAGTTTTCATTTAAAATCCTAAATGAAATATTTGATTAATGTTTTTTCTCAAATATTTAACGTTTGTGTATAATTCGTCGACGCCATAAATTGGATAACTTTTTCATGCAGTTGTGTTTTTTGTTTGTATTACTTTTATAGCAAGTCGTAAATTTGTTTGTATGCCACAAACCCATAATGAATACATACATATATCAATACATTAACAATTTGCAATTAATTTTGAACAAATGAACAAATCAATTTAAAATGCACCATCAACTTTTGGCTTTGGGGCTTTAAATTGTTGTTGTCTTAGCCGTCAGTACTTGAAGCCGCGAGAGTCAACTATGGCCCATGGCTATGGCCAACTATCGACAGCAGACGCAGAGGCACTTAAGAGGCGCGAAATGTCAGTGAGATTGGCCCCCAACCGCTCCAAGCTGTTGTGATCGTTAATGCCAATTAATTGTTTTGTTTACAAATGCTGTGCGAACTTTAAATGCCAAGCTGTTTTTATTTGTTTGGACAAGTGAAGACAAATTGAAGATTTAATTGGAAAAATAGAAATGCACACTGCCATGTGTATGTGTATCTATACCTTCCTGTTTATATCATTGATAAAGAGGCTCAAGCGCACGTAGCAGTTAAAAAGCAGACCGCATTGTTTTTATTAACAGCAGGCTAACAGCTCCTTAACATTGCACTAACAGAAGCCACACTCCAAACTGTTATCAGTCAACTTCAGGCATGAGTCGTCGTGACCGCTTCAGTTCAGTTGGAGTCGTCGCCAGATGCAGTCGAGCCACGGATAAAAAAGTCTCTAATCGTATACACTATACTCGTAGGTTTGTCTATGCGACGAGATGAAAAAATAAACGTATTCCGTCGAAAACTAATTTACAATTAAATCTACGCTGTTGCTTTTGTTAATAATTAAAAACCGGTCAGCGTAAACGTCACAACGTGAGTTCGTGATAATCTGTGAATTTCAATGTACAGGTAGCACCCACTTACGTGGGAATTCCCCAGTGAGCTGAATATAGAGAACACATGAGCGACTCCATTGGAGTGACTAATATATTTGAATATACTTCTATTTGATGCATTCAATACGCCCCATTGTGCATTTACATACATAATATAATAAATACTACCATATCTCTATAAATGAAAATGCATTCAGAACATGTTACAAAAATGTACATATATTTGCTTATGTGATTGCCCTCGAAAACTCCCCCCAAAACATCGTGTCTCCGAACCCGTATGGCCGTCTTGCGGCTGCCCACAATGTCTTTCCACACCAACCAATTGTACAAACAACTGATAAACTTTGGGGTTCTGTACAATAAAAAAACACATTCAGAAGAGTTGGCGAGTGCGCGTTTGCACAACTCATTGTTTTTGTGATTTTTATTTATTTATTTAGTTATTTTTGCGTTGTGCTTAATGGCATCTTGTGACAATATGGGTATTATATTTGCCGGTACTTGTCATTTAGCGCCGTAAACAAAATCCAGTCTCTGCGTTGTCGGAACGACGAGTTCAGTTTTAAAATCACAGCACAGCAGAAAAATGTGACTAGAATGTTTTGCTCGCAAGGAATTGCATTGCCTAGAGAGTTGCATTCCAAAATCAGAAACTTGCACACCTACTTGTTGTAACTTATGCAAAATGTATGCAAATGCCGATCAGTGTGCCTATTTGTTCGAATGTTGAGAGCGATGTCTAACACCTAACCTCTACTTGTGTTTACCTCATTGAAAATTTAAAAAAATTCTTTCTTTTTAAATTAAATTAATTATTTAAATTAAATAAAAAATATTCAATAAGTACAAACATATGTACATACAAAGGTTCTACATTTCTAATGCCCGATGAATGGGAGCTTCAATTACTAAATTGTGAAGACCGTTCTCCAAGAAATTAAAAATTTCTTTTCAATACAATATTCAAGTCTGAGAATTTAATAGTTTTTTACTATGTCTGATGAAATAGAGGTGTTTTTGAATGATGGAAGTATAGTACAATATACCTTTGTTCAAATGTGCGTATATATCGATAAAACTTATGGAATAAATTGCTAGTCAATTGATCAAGTGTGTAAAGAATAAATCCACAAAATCTGCTGCCTACACTCTTTTACACTACTGATCAACAATTACTCTTTGTGGCACCTGTACAAACACAAGGTGCGGCTTTTGCGTCCCCACAGATATGTATTGATTATCTGGGAATTCAATTAAGTAAGAGTATTGTAACCTGGCATTATTTCATAGGAATGTGATAACAGTCTACATTGACACAAGAAGCGATAGCGATTTTCCATTGCTCTCAATGCAAATGGGAAACTTGAATCGTCGCATGAATCGCCAGTGCCAGCGATTAGGTATTATTCTATGGCTTTATACTCTACTCAACTGAACAATATCCAGGTACTGTTTAAATAATACTTGTGAATAGATGGTCGATCATGTTTTTTATTGTTACAATACTTAATGAACACGCACTCGAAAATATGTTTACTCGTAATGATTTCCCGAGCCGCGCTTGTTTTGTGAGTCAGTTGGGCGGGCTTGAATTCCCAAAGCTTTGGCTAATTGCTAGTTAAATAATAAAATAGGTGCAATAGTGACTGTTACGGTAATTGATATTATATTGAAACACTTGAAGCAATTTGTGGGAGCTATAGGAAATTACTAATGCCAACAATTTGGAGTATTAGCACTCACTAGCTGTGATTTTGATGGGATTTTCAACAGAACATTTTAGCTGCCATATGGCGGTTGTCTTAACATTTCTGATATTTTCTACCGCCGCCACATTTCTTTGTACTGCTAGACACATCTTCCTCCACAAACTGTATTGTTTATAACGTACAGTTTGGCCGCAAATATCCGAAACGTCTATGCTCGAAATTGTTTATTGGGGTTTGTTTATTTTCAAATTCTCGCTGTGCTTTTCAAACCCACATTAATTGCCCCATTTGTGAAAGGGGTTCGTTCTATTATTCTTATTATAATAAAAGTGCGGCTGGGGGCAGAACCAGAACCAGAATGCGATGCTTGAAAATTATGTCTCTCATATTCTCTTATCATATTTATCGCACATTGGCTGGACTCTGGCAGTGACACCTCACATTTCGCTGTTCGCGCCCAAAGGTAGGTGGGGGTGATGATACAGAGCAGAGGTCTGATGAGAATAATAACAAGCGTGTAGAACAATGTTTCTTGTGATTAAATTTGCATTGCTGGGCACTTATCGCACCTCACCTTGCCAAGGGATACAACACAAGGCAGGCAGAAATGGCCGAAGTGTGAGGTGGTGGGATGTGGTGTGAGGTTCCATGCTTGCTCAGGTGCATTAGCAATACAAGGGTAATGCAATTTCAATTTAATTAACAAAATGCTGCTGAGCCCTGTCACTGTTTGCTAATTGTTACATTTAATTTGGCTGCGGGAGACTGGAGCTGCTAAGAATTGACCCTCACTTCGTCTATGATGGGTTCCGGCCGAAATAAGGCTTGATACATGTACTCTGGCCATTTGAAAGTGCCTCATTAGCCCTCGAGCTGGGAAGGGGATACCACTGCGGGATACCAAGAAATATGCCAACACTCTCCAGGGTATTAATGATTCGATTAACGATATTATAATCAATAGCTCTTACGCATATTATTGCCTACACTTTGCTAATTTGTGCTTCAGATATTCATAAATTTGAAAACAAGTATATAGACGCTCAATTATTTTGGGTAAAGAATAAGTGTCTATGTATGTCAGGTGTATGATTAAAGACATGATGTACATGATCATATTTTGTGCTTATACATAAAATGTAACTCTTCTAATTAGGCTTCAAAAATGAAATTGCTTCTTATTCTTATTCACGAAGCAAGACAATCCAATCGGAACAAATATGCAATAGCTCCCGGGCTTTATTATTAACTTGGCATAGTAATTCGTTTCGATTAAAATGTTAATAAATCATTGAATTTGGTTCTTAGACTCTTCTAATTCCTAGGTAACAAGATTTTGATTTTTTTTCCTCACAAAAGAATTTTAATGAAGTCTCCAACTTCTAAGCGACATAATTTAATTTTTACACGAATTTCTCTCCTTACATATAGTAGGTCAATCCTAATAATAGTTTGTACCGGTAAAACCATTTCAGACCAGTACTAAGACCTCCCAAAGTCCCCCTTTTGGGTACAAAGATGTAAATTCGATAATAGTGTTTACTAAATAGTTAAGATAAAACTTACAAAACAATTAGAGTAAGTAATTATTGTATGTAATTACACAAAAATTAAATGAAATGCTTGCTAAGTATGGAGGTTTGTCTTTGGATCAAATAATATAAATATAGTTTTGTTCATATATACTATATTTTGGTTAATACAAGTACTATAGTTAAATAGCTGTTGTATATTAGGATAGCACACAATAAATGTGCTCTAAAAAATGCGCCACAATGCACGGGGACTGAAGGCTCAGACACAGATTACCGCAAATTGCAGTTTTGACGGCAATAAAAAAACCGCATACATCGTACTCAGTCAGCTTTGTATATGGTAATTGTCCATGTTTTTACATTTTATTTTTCGCTTTTCGCATTTGATGGAATTTCGTCAGTTGATTTATGAATGGGGTTGAAAAAACAAAGCATTCCATCAATTTTATAACCAAACATTAAATATTGACGAGTGCTTGTCTTCCTGTACACGTATGTGTGTATGGTATGTGTAATGCCATTGGAGGTGAAACATGAAAACAGTTTGGAAAATATTTGTCGAGTCGCAGGTAGAGTGGCGGTGCAGCCCATTATAATGAGGAAACAATCAATTTAGATGGGGTCTGCTCAATACGGACCCGTGTGAGGTGGTTCTGTTTCTGTTGTATTCTATTCCACCTTTGTTTACACACCAAAAACTGTGTGGAATATCACTAAAAATAAACCGTAGAATTTTCACACGAATCGCAAAGCACACACAGACACACACACACACGCACAGCAAATATAATGCGCAGCCCGTCAATGGATCAGCCATAATATTATTATGATGGGAAACACACTTGAATTGTGGTGTAGAGTGTGCGATTAGCGGCCAGAAAGCAGCCCGCAGCCCGCAGCTGAGGTCAAGACATCGACGGCGCCTGTTATCTTTTTTTTCACCTCGATTGGTTTGTGGTGAGTTCTTTGGCGATATTCTGCCTTGTCTTGTACTCGTAGTAGCTGTGGCGACCATTAGTTTATTTTGACTTTCGATATAGTCGCAGACGTCTGATAGTGAGCCATGTGTTGAGTGTAGAGAATAAAAACAAAACAAAAAGAAATAAGTACGTACGTTTTTTGTTGCGGTTTAAAAGACAATATTTTTTTCGAAAGATAGCTAAGTAAAGTGCTTATGACAATTAATCGCATAAATAATAATTGAAATTCCCGCCACAGCAACGTTGTGAAAATTATAATTAATGTGAGTTATATTGCCTATTTCCGTGCTCGCATTCAAAATGCATATATCTGATGACACAGCACATACTGCGAACAAAGAATATATAGACCAGAGACTCGATTTTAACATTTTCGAAACGTCTGTTTGCTGTTGACTCTGCGACTGTGTTCTTTGAATTTCAATTAATTACGCATACGCCGCGTGACATTTTTTCGCGCCTAATACTACCGGCTGGCATCGTCAGCCCCCGCTATAATACACTTTAAAATAAGTAAGTGTTGCAGCGCAGATATGCCATAGTTAAATGTATTTTTATAATCCAATTTATTACTTGCTAATGCGTCGAAATTCTTCGAGTTCTTGTTATTTTCGGCACATTGAGTTTACGCGTGATTTCGTGTGGAATTCTTAGCCCGATTTTTAATGGGTGCTGGCGCTGCCCAATAATTTACTCACAAACTATTCAAAAGTTTGTTGTGTGGCTCTTACGTGAATATAAAAATAAAATAATTGCTCAGCATGATTCAGTTCATTAAGCCGCCTAAATAATTACTCAGTGCGCTGTTATCAATCAACAATAAACTTGGGGCTTTTCTTGTAAGAGTATAGTAGTTATATGGCATGGACGCACAAAAATAAATTCCGCATTTAAAGAGTAATTCGTGCAATCATGAAAATGTGTTTTGATGAAGTGTTGGTCCATTCAATTCATTGGTCTAATTGTCACAAAAAATCCCAAACAAACTATTTTCAACTCGACTCAAAGTCTATATTAACGATACAATAAAGCCTTATCTGCCACCAAGACACTTAACAGATATCTTATACATACATACAAGTATGCACACTTACATATAAAGAGAGGTACAGAGTGTAGCCCATGATAACCTAAAATGTTGATAAACACAACTAACTTTAAAAGGCTTTAACATACTTTATAACGTTTCTACTCTGTTAAAGACTTTAAACGACATCTAGAGATTGAACTCCTTGATTTGAAATTTTTCCTGAAGTAAATTTTGAGGAGAGAATTCTTTCTTTGGGGACGATGTTTTACTTAAGCTAACGATTTACAAATTGCGAGTATTAAAACAATTTTCATGCATTTTCATATATATATGCTTCAGTTTTGAATTCGGAATATTTCCCTAAATATACATGGTACATTTTAAATTCATGTCATCATTTTTTCTTTGTTAAATGCTTGGCGAGTCATTAAGATGTAAGAAAATTACTACAACCTATTAAAGCCAACTGAGTGCAGTCTTTTATTTCCTGGAATCAATAAATGTCTCATTATTATTAATACATATTCTTTGCCTCATATAAGCGCCCTGTTGTTTTATCTTATCGACCGCACAATACATTTATTTATTTTGTGTGAAAACAGCAGTTTTGTTTGTCTTCATGGCTTGTCACCACTTTTAATTCCCGCCAATCGGTCAAAGGCGTTTCAAAACGCTGATACGTATAAGTGAACTTTTCATATTCCATATACACGTATATTACAAATATCAGAGGGAAAGATCTACAAGCATCAGCAATATAATTAAACAATCTAATAATCAACGGGTCGAAATCAATTAGAATTAGTTGTATTAAGGCTTTCAGCTATGATTAATATTTAAATACGATTAAAAATATGGAATGTGGACTTTTCGTAAGACGTGTGATTTCCACATACGTGCTTCATTGAGAAATACCCACATACTTGTTTAGTTATTTGTATTATGCGCACATTTAAATAAATATATGTAATTTATTTGATAGCTGAACATTTAATCTAAAATTGAATATTAATTAATATCCAAATTGGTACGTAAAGTCTGCTTATCTAAGTAAAACCACGTGTGCTTTCTTCATTTTTTGATTTGGAATAATCTACGCATTTTAAATGGCGAATATATAGTCTGCTTATTAGATCTACATCAAAGAAAACCCTTGGCGCTACCGTTCTTGTTATTGAAACTAAAAAATTTAGTTGAAAATTGATTCTTAGAAATATGGGTGCCTTAAGAAAAGACCGTTCTCTCAAGCTGCATTTCGATATTTATCGAAATTCGCCTCATATAAACGAATTTGAGAAGTTCTGCTCACAATTATATATTAAATATATTTTCTTAAAATTAATGAATACAATGATGTTAGGCTTGCTGCTCATACTTGCATATTTTAAATGCAAATTTGTCTTTTTAATTAAATTCGTCAGAGTTCAATACGAGTATTTGTCAAAGAATCATAGAGCGATCGTCCCTTGGGATAAAGCAACAATTGTTTTATTCCAAAATGTTCCTTTCTTAGGAGCTGAATCCCATCTTTTATGTTTTAAGCTAAGAGTATATATATTTGATAGAAACTAGTAACTTGTTAATTTATTAACATATATATTTACTTCTTTTAAGCCTGAAGTTTGATTGGAATTTTTCATCTGCACTAACACTATTATAGATACTCGTATATTGACCACAAATTGAAATCTTATCGTGTTGGCTTTTGTAGACATTTTCGCTAATCTCAACATGTCCATACGCCTTTCAAGACCCGCCCATAATTTCTGATATCATGATTTTAACTTCAGTTGTAAACAAGTTTTTTGTAAGTCAAAGGACCTAATTAGACAGATGTAAAAAGTAACAACAAACATGTTAATGCCAATTTAAATCGATTCCCTTGTGCATTGCTTTATATTTAATTCGATATTTGTCTCTTTCATTAAACGCAGATGGTACCTTTCGAACTCTGCTAATTTTCATCACATTTCGACCGACTGAATGTCGGGGATCGTATATAAAGCATTATGGGGAAGTAAAACATGTTTCTCATGGTCTCTCAATTGATTTGGATTTCTCTTTCATCACTCACTCAAAAGGAACAAAGGGGGAGCACAGTTCCCATTTAAGTGTGGAATTGATCAGAACAATGTAGTATGTATGTACTTATGTTTGAATGGCATCCGAAAATGCAGTAAAAGCGCTCTGAAATGGTCGAGTTGGAACAGCAGGGAGAGCACTGAGGAAATTACCAAAAACTAACAATGTTGAACACACAAATAAAGAAGAAATATTGCGTTTATAAAATAATTCGCAATGCTTGTGTAGACGAACACGAAAAGTGGAAAATCGAACTCGAACATGCGGTCCATTATTCATTCAAATGGGGAATTGTTTCTATTTGCGGAACGCTCGTCAAGGTGTTCTTAACTTTTGTTTGGTCGTGAAGACGGCGCGGTCGGTGGCGCCTGCTTAGGAGTGTGTACTGGGGATTAATTATGCTAATTTGTAAAAACTAAAACGAGGCATTAAATGAGTGTTTATGTGTGTTTACCCATAAAGGGGAGTGCAATAAATTTCACGCTAATTTGTAGACTAACGGCCCACAAGCCCGTCACTTAACTGACTCCCTCAAGCCCCTACCCGCACACATACACGTACAATCAATGTTGAATTTAGAACTATAGTATCAGTCGCTGCTCATTGAAAGCAAATAGGGTACGATCTATAAATTAATCTCATTTTCATCGTACTTTCTTTGTATTCAACTGTTTCGTTTGTTCCCTATAATGATTTTTTTGATAAGATAGCGATCCGGCATTACACACTAGTGGCAAAACTGTTGACCCATCCCATGTGGCCATTTCGCATATGCATTTCATGGCAAATTTTGTAGCTTGAAGTGCGTCAAACCTGTTGAGTGACGCACAGCGGTCGAATATGGCCAAGGGACACGTTTATTTGGCCGAGACTGTGACGCTTTTTCCGCATTTGTAATGAGTTTATGGGGCAGTGGTAACTTGCAGCGAGTCGGACCGTAGGTGGCCCCGACCCCATCCTTGCCTTCGCTCTGTGCAGCAGCTAATGCGCACATCAGGCCACGAATGGCCGGACGGGCGAACAGACACCACCAACAACAACAACAATGACAAAAGCAACGGTAACGGCACCGAAAATGCCAATGATATTGACACTCGACGGCACTTAGTATCAATTTAACACAAATTCATAAATGTTTGGCGCGTGTATTTATCTGTAATACAGTGGCACATGATTAATGCCCGCACGGAGGCCCCCATTAGTCCGTAGGCGTCCGGGCAACACTTTCACTAATGGCTGCAAACGGTTGCGTCACAGTTGTGTCGACAGTCGTCGCCTTCCGCCCCTCCATCCCCACCCTTCCTTCCGGCTCCATATGTCGGCACGCTCGCGTGCTGGTGGGTGTTGTCTGTGGCCCAGAGGACTCGTTGGTTGCTTAATTGTCCAGTTCCCCGAATCAACATGCCCTTGCATGCTGCCTTGCCCCATAACAACACTAAGCCTAAGCCCGTTGAATTGTGGAGCGAATAATTGGGTAATGACAACTGTTGAGTGTTACTTGTATATGATGATCCAAGGTCAATTGTTTTCGCAATTTAGGGATGCCACGTAAATGTTTTGCAATTTTGCGATTTTCAAAGTACTTCAAAATGTAAGCAGTTCATAGATTTTTGCTTTTCTTATATAAACTCAGAAATTGAGTTGTTTTTTTAAGTATAGTTTTTGAATCGTTTGAGTGTTATATTATGACCGATTTATTGAAATTTAAATTCCATATCTTGTCAATTATTTGATAAAAACAAAATTCTACATAAATTCTTTATATCCATTACCGACTTGGGCTTCTATTTTCTTCGAGTCTACAATTTGTATCCATTCCTTAAACGTGCTGCACTTTGAAATGGTTTGTTGTTTGTGATTTATTAGGCATATCAAAAGAAATGATTTGTAATCGTTTTTATGTAAACATGCTTAGTTTTATGAATTTTTAGGATGTGCCGTGGATGGGCTTAACGCATTGCTTCAACGATTTCTGAGAGTAATATTGAACTGATCCATTTTTATTCAACAGGTGCAACTCTAAACGTTGATGCATATGGCAGCGCATGCCAAAAGTGGACCGCTCTACTGCGGGGTCACCTTGATTGGTGTCTTGTGTCTGGTCGCATTCCGCTTGCTGCCAGGCACACCTTTCGGGGTCTACGCTCTGCCCGAGGAGAGGAATTATCATCAACGCGATGGCATCCACACGCCCTGCACCTTCTTCGACACGGTCAATGTGACGGGGGATATGCGCTTCGACAACGGCAGCTACCTGCACGACGGCGTCATCATTCCCAGGCACCTAGTCGGGCTATACGACTACATCTACAAGGATTTGGTGGAGAGGGTGGAGGTGACGCCCCACATGCGTGGCTGTATCTGTAAGCTGAAGTCCTGTCTGAACATCTGCTGTCCCTGGGGCAGTGTCTACGACAGTGGTAGTGGGGAGTGCCGCAACGGCACTCAGCACCTGTGGCCGGAACCCTTCCTGAATGTTACCTTCAGCAACTATTCTCTGCAGTCGGTCAACATTTTCAAGCAGTACGTTGTACAGCAATTCAGGCCCTGCGTGGAGATGTTTTCATTGCAGCCGGAGCTGAATGCCTACGACTCGTGGCTGCTCTTTGAAGTAAGTTGAGGGATGTCCTCCTCCTCTCATTTAATTTCCATATTTAATTGTTTCTTAAGAACGGCACGATGCTACGCGAGGACGACATGACCTACATAAGCAAAAATGAGTTTTGTCTAGTGCCGACGACAGTGAATGATACCGATATATATTACAGCATCAATCCAGCCAATTGCGACGTGATGAGCGAATACGGAACCGTGAAGATTATCAATGCATATAGTAAGCGCAGCTGATGGCCAAATCTATAGCCTAATGCATATCTTCTGAATGATTTATTTGCAGCCATGCTGTTCTCGATACCCTTCATGTTGCTGACAATTGCCGTTTATCTGCTTATTCCGGAGCTACGCAATCAGCATGGCAAGTCATTGGTGTGCTACCTTTTAGGTCTTTCCGTCGGCTACTCGACACTGTGCTGCGTGCTATTGATAAAGCATTTGAATCCGGAGGGCATGTCCTGCAAAGTTTTCGGTGAGCACTATGCGGTAACTATGATTGTAAATGCTTTTCTAAACACGTAAGTGTCTTTGATTTCAGGATACACTGCCTATTACTTTTTCATGTCGGCCTTCCTTTGGCTAAACGTCATCAGTTTCGATTTGTGGCACAACTTCCGGGGCACACGGGGCGTCAATCGGTTCCAGGAGAAAAAGAGATTCCTCTTCTACTCCCTGTACTCGTGGGGCTTGGCCCTGGTGTTTCTGGTTTTCACATGGTATGCCCAGGAAAAGACCGATTGGCCAGCTGAGCTAAAGCCGGGCATTGGAGCTGGCATCTACTGTTGGCTAGACAGTAAGCGATTGCTTAGCTAATGCTGCCTGGAATCTGTATTAATTATACCTTTCCGTTTCAGTGCACAACTGGTCCGCTATGATATACTTCTTTGGGCCCATACTTATTATCATTGTGGCAAACACCGTCATGTTTGTGATGACGGCCATTAAAATCCACACAGTGCAACGCGAGATGGCTCGGATTATAGCTCGAGAGGATAGCACCAAGAATTTACGCACCGAGAAGGATAAGTATGAGGAGGATTGATATTTTTAGTTGCAGTGAATCCAAACTAACGAGGATATCTTATCATAGATTCGGCCTATTCCTACGCCTGTTCCTCATAATGGGCGTCACCTGGTCCTCCGAGATAGTATCGTACTTTGTGGGTGCCGACAAAAAACTGTCAAAGGTCTTCTACATATCAGATCTGTGCAATGCCATGCAAGGTTTTCTCATATTTATGCTGTTTGTGCTAAAGAAGAAGGTTAAACACTTGATAACCAATAGGTGAGTGATGTGGCCAGGGCTGCCACATGCTGTTCTCCAAGCCGACTTCATTTTTTGTACGAATAGCTAGCTGATAAGTTCTGTAGCACGAACCCAGTCTGTTCCTGTGCTGTGCTCTCTTTGTTTGTGTACTCGTGTGTATGTACTTTCAAATCTCCATCAATTGTTAAGTGTGCCTTCCTCTCCCACAAACTTAGAACGGTGCGCGTGCGCAGTTTGCGGCAAACGGAGAGCATTACGTTGGCGGGCAGCAGCTATTCGATGCGCCAGCGTTTCATGGATGCGTCGAACCAAATACGAAAGCTGGTTGTCATACGAAACGCCTTTGCGAATCCGAGTGGTGCCCACTCGCACAACGTCTAGCTGGGTCTGAGTAGTCTACCAGGGCTCCATACATATTGTAGTAGTAAGCCATAGTGTTGGTCCCAACACCAGCTAGATCTTCGGTGTTCAGTGTTGTGGAACGTGTGTAGTAGGCTTGACTCTGCGAACCACTAACCAGTCTGGTCGAAGACGCGTCAATAATAATCGTCTTCTCTTAGCTCCCCACTTGCATGCTAATCCCGAAACGCATTCTTAAAATTGAAACGTCGTGAACCTATTGTATCTATATACATTCTTCTCTTGTGTTTCATTATCAGACCGCTTTCGCTATCACTTACGCAAACCAACAACAACAACAACCATAAGCAGCCTAATTCTAATCCGAATGACAAATCAAAGCACAAGTCTAACGCCCAAGCAAAGCAAAATGCGACTTGAGAACTCACACTATATACGAGTATAAGTCGAATAAAAGCGAATGCAATACCGATTTCGAAACTGATACCAATATTGATATTGATACTGAATAACCAACAGAGGCTACATTCGTCCAATAACAAAGTTTGTTGCTGTGATTATGATTACCCACTAAATCGATCAAATCCGTCCACTTTCTGTACAAGTAGCTAACAAAAATAGTGTAACTGTAACCATAATAGAATGATACTACAATATGAATAACAATTAAATAAATATGTACATCAATGTTAATTTTTGGCACTCAACAAAGACTCTTGAAGCAAAAACCGCCTGGTTCGAGTCAAACGAACTCAACGAACTCAACCAATTCTGAAATAAATACGAATCCGGATAAATTTAAACTAAAAGCTGCACAATATGGTGCAAAACCAAATGGGCGCCATTAGCAGCCAAGCCAACCCATCCGCAGCAAAGGTAAAAAGTGTACGTAAGTTCAGCTCGACCTTCAAAAGATCGCGGCTTATATCGAAGTGTGACTAACAAACTCAGCATTCGTAGACTACTGGGTAACTAACAAGCTAAGTAGTACACGTGCATAATTCCGAATTGAATAGTTCACTCTACCTACTTGTAGTACCTAGTACTAATAAGTATATAGAAAATAACTCTAACTCTGCATGTACTATAAATCAAACCAAACTGCAACTATACTATATAACTAATTATATACTAGTTTCCTACCCATTTTCTCATTTTCATACTTCTAACCTCCAAGCGCCCCTAAATTGCATGTTTTCACTCGCTAATTATCGATGTTTGGCTTTCTGTGTTTATCGATCTACTTGTAATGAATTGCACCTAATAAGCCTTCTCAACACTATCTCCTTGTTCTATTTTCTAATCAGATACTCTAGCACACGCGACAGCAGCAATCAACGCCAGAGCCAGTACTCCACCAAGACAACATCGAGCAGTGTGGCGAACCTATCGCTGCATGAGAAGTACTCCGCAGAAAAGCCCTTTATCACGTCTCAGGAGCAACGCACTACCAGCTTCCGCTGAGAGCCATATGTAGAATACATTCTTGGATATGTCAATTGGATATCGATAAAAGCGCTCTAGTCCAAAGTACTTTAACCTATAACCACAGCACTCCGCTCACTACGTTGATTCAGTTGCCTTGCGTTATGTGCTAAGCATCGAATATTTGAGGAGGCCTTTGCGTCAGCCACATCAGCCATATTATAGCATTATTATCCTGTTACTTTTATTCATAGACTATAAAAAGACATTATGCTAAGAATTTGTGTGTAGAAACTCTCATATTAACTACTATACTTGTATGTGTTTGTGGTAGATGCTTTATGGATTCATGTGATGATTTTCTTAACAGTTTCTCCATTACTCGTATGTTTTTTTAGTTCTCTTGCGAGGACTTTCTTAGTTTTGTAAGTCATCCGAAAAACGCCATATCGAGTTTTCATCAGAAAATATAGTAAAGTAAAACATTGATTTGTTACATACTGAACCACAATTATTTACGCCTCCTGAATCTCATCAACGGGGGAATTAATTGAGGACCCAGTGGCGTTTAGCCCATACACAGGGTCTGTGGGTTTTTCAATTAACAAAATTTTGCTCTTAGGAAACACATTCACTGAAAATAAATGGAAAATATAAAATATTTAATACATGCATACATACAGAATCGTGTCTATGCATATTTGTGTACTAGTACATATGTATGTGTGCATTACATATGCATTATGTCAAAGCAGCAACAAATACAGCTGCGGGCAGAGCTGGGGAAGCGAATATTTTTATGACTATAACTTGCTCCATAAGATACCTATAGTGATGAAACTTGGCGTACGGACACACAATCACTAACTAGATGTGATTACCAAATTTGACTTAGAAATTCCAAGAATTGGGTGAGTTAGAGAAAATCGCGAATAGAGGGGGAGTGGGGGGGGGGGGGGGGGGCATTGGAAAAAGATGAACAAACTTGCCCTTTCCCGGCTTAGGAGAATCTGCGTACCAAGTTTGGTGATTCTAGCTCTTATACTTCCTGAGATCCTAGCGCTCATACAGACAGACGGACATGGCTATATCGACTCATCTTGTCACCCTGATCAAGAATATATATACTTTGTTAGGGCTACCACGCCTCTTTATAGTCTATTCTATGAAAACTTATTAGCGAAACTTTTTAAATCCGGTACTACGCCCACAAACTGCTGCATCAACTTCGCTTTTCTTGTTCTTCTTTTTGCTTCTGCTATGGGCGCATATAACTCAGTCCCGGAAATTTGTTTGGCTACAGGGTATTACACTGTCGGGCTCGCTCGACTACAGAGTTCTCTCTTGTTCTCGTTCTTTTTACTTATCAAAATTGAAAATTTCTGAGAAACAAAGCAACATAATTTCAATTCATTCATAAAAATGTAATATATGCGGGTTTCTGTTTATTCTGTTTATTTTCTATTTCTCTGTTATACTTATGGCTGTCTAGGGTGGTTATGTTTATTCGCTTATGTTTTACCAACCAACCCACATATATATTTTAGAAAAATAAAAATTAATATTTTATTTTTTACAGCAGAAGCAAGAAGAAAATGTAAGCGGTACTGCAGTTGGTTTGGTTTCTAAAGATTTATATTTAATTCGTATAGTAAAAGATATTAGAAAATGCATATAATTTAAGTGGTTTTTGATTCTTGGAGTTCTGTTTTTTTTTTTCGAGATAAAAATCAAATAAATAAAATGGGATTGCATAGGGCTTTTAGACGAGTGTGGTCGCTGTGGGTTCTGATAAATGGGTTCCGAAATCCGGGCGTTCATATACCCCAAGAGTACCCAAAGAGTAAAAGGGTATACTAGCTTAGTGTAGGAAGAATACCAAGAATTACGGGAGGTATGAAAAACTACTAATAGCGAGGGACTGGGGGGAGGTGTCCCATCTTAAAAAAAAAAAAAAACTTATCCTTTATCGGGGTCTCTCTGGATACCAAGTTTGGTTATTCTACATATGTCTAGACTTGCTGTGATCCTTGCGTCCATACAGGTAGACAGATGGACAGACGGACATTTTCATATCGAATATATATATTTGTGTGCCAGGCCTCCTCCTGTGTGTTACATACGTTCGAACAAAACTAGTATACCCTTTTACCCTTTGGGTACAGGGTATAAAAAACGTGATTCAGTTCGGGTATACTTGTAAGATTTTAAAACAGTACAGTGGCTGATTAAGCTTGCGAAAGCTCCGGCAGCTTTTTCGAACAACGTGCGGCAAGTCAGCGAAAGCGGACTGCAAATGGTATAAGAAGTAAATAAAATAAAATGGTGTTCTATAGATTTTGAGCTGCCGTTCTGTTTACTTCAAATATAACCAGCGGGTAAGCACTAACTAATGAAGCAAGAGGGACAAATCGGCGGTAAACTGCCGACTAACAAATAATTAAACTAAACGCTAATTTGAATATTTTTAAAACTTCAGTGTTTTACATTTAATCCAATTTAAATTTAAAAAAAGTTGAATTCGTCTCACTTTTAGTTGAAAATTTTAATATTTAACTTGAAACACTTTAGAACTCACTGTAGTGAAAAATGGTTGGTGAAAATAATCAAATCTTTTTTAAATTTGCGTGATTTTTCCGAGTGTACAGAGGAAAAGTACATACGAACCGACCTTTGCTCTAATAAGTGAATTCCTTAAGCTCATGCAGGCTGGCGGAGACACCGATGGCGGGCACAAAAATACAAAAGAAATAAAATAAAATAAAAACCCTTCCCATCTACCCATCCTTGCCAATTCGAGCTTAGTTACGTGAAATAACATTTCATTGTGAGCCTCAAAAAGGAATAAAATATTATGTCTGTTCATTACGTATCGGTGATTATAATCGTATCTGTTTACCATCGTTTCGTATTTCGATTGGATACGGAACAAACGCGTAGGAACGCTCCCATATTTGATGGATTACTTGTTTCATTAATTTTTTTATGACCCAGGAAAATGGGCTTTATGAGTGCTGTTGCTCGTAAGACAGGATGTTAATTAAATAAGTGCTAGGAATGAGACCGGTTGACGGATGAACTCGTCTCCTCGTCCTAACCAGTTGCATGTTGTCCAGCAAACAGAAATATTCCGTCACGTGAAGCGAAGGTTTCGAAGGGTAAAGTGTTTCGCTTGGAGCAGCTTTGCGCAATTATCGCAAGTATAGTATACCCTAAGGATTTGTCCACTATTGGCGAACTGATTGTGAAATAAATTCGTCTGTTATGTATACTTGTAGTACTATAATATAAAAGCCGAAGCCATTCACTGGGTCTTACAACAACAACTCTTTGCTTCCCTGCACTCATTAGAAAACATTTTTCGAATCGTGTGAACGTGTTTTTACGCGGACCGTGAAAAATTCGCGAATAAAGACCCGTCTGTTTTACCGTCAGTTACCGTCTCTCGGCCGTATATTTTGGCCAACCTTCGCTATCCACCAGTCAGGAATGACAAGAAAATTTAAAAAATTCGACATTGTCGTAATAAACAAAACAGTTTTTCAAAAGCTATATACATTGCTGGGATGTGTAATGTTTAGAGTATAACGTGAAGGTTACTTTCATAAAGTGCTGATGTTAGTATTACAAGTTAAGTAATATACAGATGTCTACAGCTGTTGGTAGCGAAAACTGTTCTTCTTTTCCTTCTTCTAGTTCTTTCTGTATTACTGATTAACTTTCAGAATTAAGATGCGTATTAGTTCTTGTGTAACTGCTGCTTAGCTGCTCGCCTCGAATCTAGTCGTGCTGGCTCGATCGAAGCAGCAAACTTTGTTTTTGTAAAATCCTTTTTAACATAAAATACTTGTTATTTTAATTAATTTGGGCATAATTAGTCCATAAATATAATTCATAATAAGCATTCGATAAAATAACATCCTGATTCATAAATAAATAAATAAAAATAAATAAATAAAAAAAATAAATAAATAAAAAAAATATTTTTTTGTGTGATTTTCGATTGAATGTTACTTTATCTTTCAAATGAAACTACAAATGGTTTGTGGCTTCTGTACATTAAAATTAATTTAATTTATTAAATGGAACTAAGTGGCTACATGTTGGTGCATTAATGGGTAATTAATGTTAACAAACGGGGATGCAAATTATTAACTTTTGAAATACTCTTTTTAATACCTCCCTGCTTCGGCGAAATCCTTGTCGTCTTAACTTTCATGTTGGAAAACAGATTGAAGCTAGCTGATTATCCACCATTCTCGACGTTAAGGTGTCTGCTACTTTGCTCACGACATTCATTTCAACTTCTTTTATAAGAAAGACCACTGTGACCCAATTCTGCTGCGATTAAGAGTGTTTCATACCCCTTTATCTATATATATAAAACAGTTTGTCCTGACTGACTGACTGATTGGTGATCAACGCACAGCCCAAACGGTAAAATCTAGGAAGCTGAAATTTGGACTCAAGTATCCTTTCATAGTTTATGCTGCCGATAAGAAGGGATTTTGGGAAATTCGAGCTCCAAAGGGGGGAAATCGAGCTCCAAAGTTTGTATGAAAAATCTACAATTTACATCTGATTAATTTCAAACTTAGTTTGTATACTCCCAGAAAAATTCTAAGAAAAACTGCATACTTGGTTTTTGAAATTTTTCTTGGGGCCTTCTTGTTTATGTATATAAAAGAACGTAAACGTTATAAATTTAACAAGAGAGAACGCTACAGTCGAGCAAGCCCGACAGTGTAATACCCTGTACCCAGGTAAACTTCCGTCACTGAGTTATATGCGCCCATAGCAGCAGCAAAAAGAGGAAGAAGAAGAGCGAACTTGTTGCTGCAGTTTGTGAGGGTTGTACTGGCGAGAATTTGTTTCGCTAATAACTTTTCTTAGAATTGAATAAAATTTTGCACAACAGTAGACAATTATATATAAATTATGTGTGCAAAGTTTGGTTTAGGTAGCATTTGAAATGTGGACGCTATTGACGAAATTCTGCAGCGGGGGAAGGGGGGGAAAATTAAAAAAAAAAAATAAACTCGTCCTTACTCGGATCTAGGAGAATCTGGATGCCAACTTTGGTTATTCTAGCTTTTATAGTTTCTGAGATCCTCGCGTTCATCCAGACGGACAGACGGACGGACGGACAGACGGACGGACAGACGGACAGTCGGGCGGACATGTCTAGATCGATTTCTCTCGTCATGCTGATCAAGAATATATATACTTTATGGGGTCGGAGATGCTTCCTTCTGTATGTTACATACTTTGCACAAACCTAATATACCCTTTTTACCCTACGGGTACAGGGTATAAAAAATTAGTGAGTACACAGGCTATTTGAAAATTGAAATAGCATTCTTTTTATACACCCTACCCAAAGAGTAAAATAAAGAGTATAACAGCTTAGTGAAAATGTATGTAGAAGAAAAAAGGAGACGTGGAAAAACCTGCAGTTTATTTTGTATGTTCTAAGTGTATACAAATCAAGTGTTCACCCACTATTAAGGATAACTTTAGAGATGTTTTTATGAGAAACCTTAATAATTGACGCCCCAATTAAAACCTACTATGCATTTTATTTTGTATTCTTTCTGAGAGTCTACAAACCAAATTAAAAGTCAATCGGCTGAATTCAGAATTCAGATTTTTCGAACAATCTTTGGGGCCCATTTTCCCTCGTTTGGAGATAAAAAATGTTCAAAAGCGCTGCGAAAGAATACTTGGGTATAAATCTCAGCTTTCTTTTCTTCCGTTGCTTACCAATCAGCTATTCAGTCGGGACAAAATATTTGTATATATGCTATAGATGTTACTCCAATTCTGTTACAGGCAAACATTTAAATTCAACACAAAGCGTTTCAAATTATTAGTGACATTTTGTGGTTGTTGGAGTGTAGATCGAAATGCACGCTTCATCAATATATGGCCATGTGCTCCAGTGCTATGGATCTTTGTTAATGTTGGGCGTGATCGCGTTAATCTTGTCTCCTGTCAATGCCAAGGAGCCCTGCGACTTTTTTGATACCGTTAATGTGACCGGTGACCGGCGGCTCACAGACGGCAGCTACGTGCATGAAAACGTAACCATTCCTGCGGCCCAGGTTGCCCAATACAGCTATATTTACAAATATAGGGGCGAGAAAATTGAGGTGGAGCCCCATTTGCGCGGCTGCATCTGTCATCTGAAGCCCTGTTTAAATGTCTGCAATGGATGGGGGAACATGAAACTTAACAGGTCCGAATCATCTCTAAACATCACCTTCCTCGATGGCTCAACGTCGTTGGTAGACGTCGCCGAACAGTTCGTACTGCAAGAGCAAAGGATTTGTAAGGAAATGTATTTGCTGCTACCAGAGGATAACTTCAGCTGGTTACTAAACGAGGCAAGTTATCGACTTAGCCATCATTGTTTTGATTTAAAACCGATTCTTTAACTTCTAGAAAGCCGTGTTATGGGAGGAGGTTCAAAATATAAACAGGACAAAGGCGGATTTTTGCGTGACACAATTTGAATGGCCAAAGGCCAGTGGCCAGTATAGTATCCAACCTGCAGTATGTATTGAGACGAGCGAATTTGTAGTGAAAACGCAAATCAATGGTATTGGTGAGTTGTGCTTCTTTAGCTACTTTGTGTTGGCCTGAGAAAACATACCGGTATACCCGATTTACAGTCATGTGGTTGTCAATACCCTTCATGCTGCTGACTATTGCCGTGTACCTGATTATTCCTGAACTACGTAAGTGCAATGGCAAGCTTTTGGCGTGCTGGCTCTCGAGTCTCTCCATCGCCTACTCAATACATCCCACATTGGCTTTTGGAATCCATACTCAGTATTCCATTGGCTGTAAACTAGCCGGTAAGAGGACGACCCTCATCGTACGACTATGCACTATCCCATACCCGACCCATTGCAGGCTATTCCATCTACTACTTCATAATGGCAGCCTTCCTTTGGCATAATGCCATGAGTTTCGATACGTGGCGCACGGTGCGCAATATGCGGGCGAAAAGTCCTTTTCTCTTATACTCCCTGTTCGCTTGGGGCACAGCACTGGTCTTACTATTATTCACTTTGTACGCTCGGGAGCAAGCCGACTGGATCGGGAATGATTGGAAGCCACAGATTGGGCGTGAACATTGTTGGTTTGACAGTAAGTAGCACCACTGTGTTACTAAGCTATTTAGATCTTTTATTAGTGATTTTTAGTGGAGCACAGGAGCACCGGGATCTACTTCATCGGACCATTGTTGCTGATCATGGTGGCCAACATCGTGATGTTTGTGATGGCGGTCAAGGAAATACACTCGGTTCATCGAAACTTACACAAGCATATTACACGTGGCGATAGTGCAAGGAGTCTTCAAGCAAATAAGAATAGATTCGCTTTATTTTTGAGACTCTTTGTCGTCATGGGTATAACTTGGACGCCTGAGGTAGTCAGTTTTTTTTTGGGCAAAGGCGAACTTATAACACGGACCTTGTACATATTTGACATTATAATATCCCTTCAGGGAATTATCATCTGTATATTGTTTGTAGCAAAAAAACAGGTCACAAATTTAATATTCCAGAGGTGCGTAACATTTATTTTCTATTTTATTTCGAGCCCGCCATTTAAAAATAAACATTAAGCTTGCTATGTTTCTACCCTCTTTTCTGCTTATAAATAATCCCATAATTTCACATAATTTCAAAATAGTCATACAACTTTTTTTAATGTATAAGTACTCTTAAACATAATTTGTCTTTATCTACCTATACATTATTTAAGATTTGACCTTGCTTGAACAATTATTAAATTTTATAAAAACGTTAAAATTCGATGAGGCGAGAGAAAGATCTTGTCAAACATAAATATTAAAAAGGAAAAGTTAAAAAATAGTATGATGAGAAAAATCCCAATTCTAATTAATAACTAATTAGATTATTTAAGTAGGAAAAAGAGAGAAATTAAAATCTCCAACTATGCTTTGATTAGTTAGAGTCGAGTAAACAGGACAGTGAAATACCCTGTACCCCAAATACTCCTTGGTTTATATGCGTTGTTATATGCTTTAGTACTCAGAAATTAGGAAGAAGAAGAGCGAAAATAGGGCTTCAGTTTGTGGGAAAAATAGTGTCGCCTCTGACTTTTTTTAGATTTAGCCGATTTGAATTAGTTTTAAAGGAGAGGAAGAGATTTACATATTTATTGTATGTGGCTTTTAAATTGTGAATAGTATTCTGAAGCGGGAGATTGAGGTGTGATTTGGGTCAATGTATGGATGAATTGGATCAATGTCGGGTCAGCTGTTTTGAAATCCACACGTTTATTCAGATGAATTCGTCCGTCTGTCCCGTCATGCTGAATTATATTTAAAAACATACTTCTAATCCTTTGGGTACAGGGTATAATAATGATTCTGTATTGAAATTGATTAAATGCGTCAAGAAAGAGTCTTCTCATAATCATTACTTTATTTAAAACCAAACATAGTTTTCGATTGCATAGAAGATAGTGATTTTTAAATAATCCCACTAAGTTATATGTAATGATGTTAATTATTATACAGGGAAGCACTGGAGTTTTTCAAAACTACAAGATTTTCAAACCGCTACTGCACACGCGAAAAGAGCTTAGAAATGATTCAAATGGAGCCTCAACTGTAGCGAGAGACAACTGTCATCCCACGTGTCGAGACTTCACTGTATGCCAAAGGCAACAGTAATAACAAGGGATCGTAAGACACATGCACCGGAACCTGCATTGACAAAACAAACGGGCCAGTAAAACTGCATGATAAGCATAAAGGGCCGGACCAACGTGAATGAAAGTAAAAGCACCAACAACAACCCCGCAATGATCTACTGATTTCTATCCAACATACTATATAGAGTTCAATTGATATCACAAAGCATACTACACCCACAGACCAATCATAGCATTAAGTTCAAATTGTATAAATACCCACGATGTTTGTCAATATCGTACTCGCCTCACTTTTTACACAACCAATGAAAATTTGCGTGTTATTCTCAAAAGAAACCATTAAATTCTTTGTTGTTGCAGTTTGAATGCAGTCTGAAAACATCATCCGATTCATATAATTGTTCAAATCATTATGTTTTAGTCATTCTAAAAATAAAACACATGAATTAAAACTGCTAGTTTCTTATCCAAACTTCAATCAATAATTTTTTTTATTCATTTCATAGATGCTCCATTTCCCAACCATCTGGGGCGACTCAAACCGTATCTATAACTACAGGAAGTACTGAGCTCAAGGAACAATCCAGCAAAAATGGAGAAGCTTCGCATTTTATTTAAGCACCAATTGTTTCTTATAAACATATGAATTAAGTCTGTCAACCTTCTTCGTTGTTAGATATTACTTGTTTTCCAAATACATGCACTATTTCTTCGCCTGCCGATTTCACAATCCATTTCAATTTCATGAGGATACGAAACACAATACCTAAAAGTGTTGAATGTAAGTAAAATAGGTTTAATAGTTTTTTCCGCTAATGACAAACTACAAGTGGTTGATATACAAATTATAAAAATGCTAGCCAATTGAAGAGGTAATTAACCGCAGAGAGTACTTCCTTCCCCCTGTTACATACTTGGCACAAACCTAATGTATCCTTTTTACCCTTCAGGTATAGAGTATAATAAGTCAACCCCTGACCTTATAAACCCTGTAGATGAATCAATACATATTATTATACCAATACCAAACTGAAAATTGTTCAAGAATTTTCAGGCCATCCCATTGATGTTATGGGAAAAATATTCAAAAAGTTTGGTAAAACGATCCTGTAAAGATTTGTCTCAAGTTGGTATCCTTTATATCTGGAGGAATCGAAAAAATCATCAAGAATAGAGGCGGATATTCAGGGTATTAGGTGTGCTTAAATGTTCAGCTAACTACGGGACCTTCAAAACAAAAATTTCAATATTTATTACAAATTTTGTTTGGAACACCTATTATTCTGTCCATTTATATTTTCAATTAACTAAACGCTAACCTATTTGTATAGCCTGTACCCAAGGGGTGAGAGGCTATACTAGCTTTGTGCGAATGTATGTAACACACAGAGGAAGGCGTGGCAGACCCCACAAAGTATATATATTCTGAATCAGCATGACGAGAGAAATCGATCTAGACATGTCCGTCCGTCCGTCTGCTTGGATGAACGCCTGGATTTCGGAAACGGCTGCGCGTACATAAACCAAACTTGGTATGCAGACGCTCCTAGTCCCTAGTCTATATGAGTTTATTGTACTTTTTTGAATTCAAATCAACATTTCAAAAGGTACATTAGCAAAACTGTGCGCACATAATTTCTATATAATTATCGAGTTTTGTTTCAAATTTAATATAAATCGGTTAATTCTAAGAAAACTAAGCGAGGGGGGTGGGGGAGCATTGCCTACCCCTACAAAAAATTTTGCCACTTACAGGCGACCACACGTTCATTATTATTGATCATATGCATAAGTTATTTTTTAAACGCATCGTGCATTATTTAATCAAAAGTTTAATTTTTGGGCCCCCCTTTGGTAAAAGTTGCCTACGCCCTTGGTACAGGGTATTTCTCTGTCGGGCTGGCTTGACTACAGCGTTCTCTCTTGTTGTAATTAAAACTAGCCCCTAGCACAAAATAAATGATTGGTGTTCGTTCTATAACATTTATCTATTGATATGGGCTGATGTGAAAGCTTATAAGTAGTTTATAGAGAGTACAAGAACCTTAGCTCGCGGTTGCGTGCATCCGCTAAAGGTATGTGGCTATAAAAGCTTTAATATCTGCGCAATCGACTAAAGATAACTTTTCGTTGTTGTCCCGGACTGGCTCGGCATATCGAAGCTAGCAGCAGTCAGAGCCAAAAATGATTTTTGAAAGAGACACGCGCACCGGTTGGATGATTGGCCGACTAGTCGACTAGTCCACTAGTCGAGTAGCTGGCTGCTGACTGAGATTCCGTCAGTCTGTTTTTTATTGTTGGCCAGAATGGTGCGGTTAACGATTGTCGTTTAACGAGTGCTGTCGCCGTCGTCGTCGCCGTCGCCGTCGCCGCATTTGTTGCTGCCGCTGTTCTTGTTGTTGTTGTTAGTTCTGTTTTCGTTGCCAGAGCGTCGCTTTGCGCCGCGACGTCGCAGTTGGGAATCGCAGTCGTTGTCATTTTTGGATTGCTGTTCGTCTTGTTGTTTTTGTTGTTGTTGCTGTTGTTCTTGTTGTTGTGCCGCATAAAAGCCAAAGCCAAAAAGTGTCGACAATTTAAAAGCAAAAGCAGCGGAGGCGGGCGTGAAACACTAAATACTTGCATACATATGGATCTTGGAAGCGAATTGCCAAAGCGATTCTACTATTTACTTATTTAATTCTCGAGCCATCGTAAGGTGCGACCGGACTGTGTAATCATCGGCAAATAATGCGACTTATGCTGCAGCTGCTGCCGCTGCCCGCTCGAGTGTGTGACGTCAGAGCAAAGAACTGATTGCGATACCGCGACCGCAACCGCAACGAAAACGTTCAGAATAATAAAAATAAACATATACACTTATCGAAAGCTGTTGTATGTACAAATACGAATACCTTTCCAGCAAAAAGTCGCGACCAACTCGAACTGATTAGGCAAACCGATTGCAGAGCACGCATTATGTTTGGTTCGCGAGCTCTTGGTCTCTACCAGCAATTTGTGGTGCTGCTGCTGATGCTGGTGTTGCTGCTGATTGCGGGCTCGGCAACCGGCAGAGATGGCAGATATCCCTGCAACTATGCGGACACGGTTAACATCACCGACGGCCTGCGCCTCAAGGATGGCTCCTATTCCTATGCTGGAGTGGTGGTGCCACCCGAGCTCATAGCCGAATACACCTTTAAGGTGATCGACGGTGTCGAGTATCGGGCGCCCAAGCATCTGCGGGGCTGTGTCTGCCTGCTGAAGCCCTGCATTAGTTTTTGCTGTCCTAACGATCTAATCTTCAACGTCCAACACTTCAACTGCACGACTCCGCCGGAGAGTGTGAACAGCTTGCCGACGGCGCAGAGCACTCACATCGAGCTCAGTCATCCAAACAATAGCACGGCGAAGGTGGTGAAAATTGTGGATCACTTTGTGATACGGACCGAGCTGGGCTGTCGCAATAAGTTCGTGGACAAGAAGCACGAGTCCTTCTGGCAATGGGACATCTTTGGGAACGGCACCCTGAGGAGTGAAAAACGATTCTGGTCCACCGATGAGTACTGCTTCACGCCTCTCGAGCACAAGCAGGTCTGGAGCTTGACGCCCTTGAACTGCGAGCGCTTCCAGCGCGGATATCGCGTCTGGATCTATGCGATATGTGAGCTTAAGCGGATTGATTGATTCCACAATCTTCCCTAATATCCCTCTTTTCCCAGGCACCATTATTGCCATTTTGATCAACATATTCATACTCTCGCTGCTGTGCTCGGTGAGGGAGGCACGCAAGAGCCACTACGGTCAGCTGATCATATACTATCTGCTTTCCATTATTGTTGGCTATTCCATGCTCGTCTATTTGGCTCTCAAGAATCCCATGAATCTCTCACATGAGGCCTGCAGAAATATAGGTGGGGGTCACTATATTATTACATAACGTCTAGCTTTTATATCCCAAATTTGTTGCAGGTTTTCTCGCCTATTTCTGCATTATGCTGTCCTTCGTGTTTTTGGCCATTTGCAGCTTCGACTTTCTGCTGAAGTTCCACCTCAAATCAATGCGGAACTGGGTACGAAAGCTTTTCTACTTCGCCGCCATTTTGGGAGTCATAGTTCTGCGATTCTTGGTCTCCTTTGCGCAGGACTCGAGCTTGCCACATCATTTGAAGCCGGGCATTGGCGGCGACTACTGCTGGTTCGATGGTCAGTAACTCCTCTAATTGTCTTTTTAATTTGATGTTATCTCGAGTTCCACTCCTCCAGTACGTCTATGGGGCATACTGATCTACTATTATGTGCCCATATTGCTGTTGCTCAGCTTTAGTCTGGTCTGTTGTTTCAAGACGTACTTCGCCTCCTTCGAGCTGCCAGAAGACACATTGAACATTATGGGAACCGAGCTTCGTATTATGAAGACGCAGTATGAACTGAGATTTTGGTTCTGGATCGATCTAGTTTCATTTTCTAATTTATATCTTTCAGCTTCTACGCTTTTTCGGCGTATCTCGTGGGCGTTTTCTCTGTGTGGGTACGTGAAATGATCGTCTATATAATGGCACGCATGCGCGAGCATTTCTTCATTATCGACTTCTGGAGCGGCATTTGCATTCTCGTTCTGGCCATAGCCGCTTTTATACTTCTGCTGGGCAAGAACATGCACGTCAAGTCCTGGTGGGCCATCAACGTGTGAGTCGCACTGAGAAATCCCATACCTTACCATTACTTATCCTTCTCCCATTATTTCTTAAAGCGAATCGAGCCAGACTGACCTGAGCGTCATAAATGCGCGCGTCTACAAATTCGACGAGAAGGGCGATCTGAAATCACGCGGTATGTAGGAAAGGCCTGAGCGTGAGCTCAACTTAAGTCTTAATTCGATATTGTTTATGTCGTTGTGTATTCACATACTATATATATATATATATATATATATATGTATTGTATCAATGTATATGCATATCAATTATAGATTCACCTTACCAGCCAACCGTGACATCACTCTAGCATGCAATGCTCAGCGCTGGACTCGGGCATGACATCAAGAAGAAGAAACTACACGTATAGTAGAGTTACTCGTCATTACAGAAGAATGTAAACCAAGTTGTGCATGGGATCGTGTAACTGCCTTAGTTCTGTATCTACTATTAATAAGAGCTGCCAAATTTCATACGTTTACATACTATATACTCGTATCCCATAATTTATACCTTTAATAAGTATTGTATAAAAACCAAACCTATATAGATGGTAGAAGTTTTATTTCACACATTCATATAATTATGCGGAATTAACCGGAAAGAAAATGGACTGAAATTCCTTCGAATTCACGTATCACAATATTGAATAATAGAAACTCAAATTTAGTTTATTTAGCTTCAGGTATTCGCAACTCATATGGAAAATATTTGTATGCTTTTGCATAGTAATGGATTTTATTAAGGAATTTGCCTTAAAGACCATTTTCATATACACTGGGTCGATACAAATTAGTCTGACAACTAGATTTTTGCGGTCTGTTCTTAATACATTTTCTATTATTATATTTACAGTTTCTGCAAATCGGTTGAAATCGGAAGAGCAACGATTCCGATATATTTAACGCCCCTGTTGAGACGATTTTATATAACGGTGTTCGTCTTGTACATATTTGTCTGTCCGTCTTTCCGTTTGACTGTTTCTATGAAAACGAGAATACCAGATTTTAAGCTATAATGTAGATCTAATTATAGTCGCCATAGGAACTGAATGTCGATTTGCAATAACTTATTTGTTTTTGACAACAGATCCAGAGATTTAAAATTGAAGAAGAATTGTGCTACAAATATTACAACTATATGAAGAAAAATATTCATTCATGCCAATTATTTGCCCATCACTATCAATACACATCTCTTTTTCAAATGTTTAAAACTATTTTTAATATTTGTACACCTCGTACCCGATTCGCTATTATCGCATACATATTAGGTTTGCGAAGAAGAATGTATGGAAGAATCTTTAACCCCATAAAATACACATATTCTTAATCAAATATTTAAATATAAAATTCGATATCTTTAAATTTTAATCAGATATAGACCTAGTCCTCGTTTAACACGGGTGTTGCATTCCTAAGAAACCCTGTGTTAAGTGGAATCGTGTTAAACGAGACAAAAGTGAGTAAAAGTAAGTATTACGCTTCTTTTTTTAAAATGTCTTTCAACTTCTTTCGGAACTTGCAGTTTTTCGATAACTCTCGTAATTTTAGAGTTGAGTCAGTCATGTTCTCACACATTTTTTTTCCTAATTCTTCGGCAATGAAGAACTTTGTGTATTACAATTGTATATGGCCAGCCAATTTATTAAAGACCGCAAAAATGTACCCCATCGATCGAATTAGAGTATTCCTTTAAATACGAACTGGAAATATATTCTCTGTGGGATTGCTGAACTACAAGTACACTTACATAAATTCTTAATCAGTTTAATTACTGATATTTTTAAAAATAACATTTTTATACACTTATGGTACATATGTGTGTTTAACATAAAAATAGCCCCAATCCTTTGCCATGAATAAGCCCATCAAAAAAATATAATGCAGAGTATGAAAAGGGTAAGTACCTACTTGTATAGAAAATGAATTTTTGTATCTTTCAGAACTAAGCTCTTTCCAGTGTACATACATTAATATAAGTATGTATGTACTTATATTTGACTATCGCTCACGACCGGCTTTATTTAATTTCTGAATAAATTGTGTCAATAATTTCTCAACGCCCGAACAGGTGCTTTTCCCATTTGGCCGCCTAAGCACCTGCGGCTCGTTTCGCCGTTTATGCCGCCGACGCCCCATGGATGAGAAATTAATGGCGCGCGCTTCAAGTTGGAAGGACATTCAAGTCAGCAGCGAGAAGGACGAGAGCAGGAGCAGAAGCAGAAGCAGGAATCGAAACATGAGGACGGCACGGAGCCAAGGCAGAGGCCGCAAGGGCGCTGACTATGATAATGGGGCCGGCGTCCCCGTTGGCTGCTTTGATGGGCTGGCTGTTTGGGTTGATGGGTCGGCCACTGGATTAGCCACAAGTCAAGTGGCACGCAACAAATGTGGCGTTAATGACGCAATTGAGAATTGTCTGTCGACTGTGCGGCCTCTCGTCGTGTGTGCCAAATGCTCTCTGAGCGAGTTCCGCTGCGACTCACTGCGACGAACTCTGATAGCCCTGCACCTTATTAGCGACTAAGTTACTGGATATCGAAAATTACGGCATTAATGGACCGTGGCTGGAACCGTGCAGGGTGTCCGCGCTTTTTTATACATACAAGCATATACATGTACATGTATACACGAGTAAATTTTGTGTATGTTTTCCTTTGCGTTTTCGCCCCGGTTATTGTAAACAAACTGCAGAGCAACAAGAACAACAATAACAACAAGAAGACCACTGCCAGTGGCAGTCCCAGTCCCATCGGCACATTTGGGAATATGTCGCTATGGCCAGTCGAAGTTTAGCCTGCGCCAGGTGCGGACCAGCGGCCGAGATCGGGGTCGAATGTTTTATGAAGTGTGCACGGGACTTCCGCCAGTTTCCCGCCAACGACGTCATCAGTGCGATTTAGTATTTAGTAGTTGTGTTTGGATTTGGATTATTTGCTAATCGACCAGCGTATAAACACACAAATTAATTTACGCTGTTCCAAATAAACATAAATAAGAGGAACGGCTGCGGATCCGGAAACGGGGGCTGTCTCTAAAGACTGCTTGTGCTTTTTTTGTGTTTTTGTTGCGCCCCCTATAAGGTTTCATTTCGAATTGAGGGAGCCAGGGAGAACTATGCAATGTCTCCTCTACCTCTCGTTATTCTTATCCTGTTGCCCGCTCGTATGCTATCCTTCAGCCAGCAGGCTGAAACTCGCTATCCCTGTGCCTTCATCGACACTGTGGATAGCCTGAACTCCACAAAGGGCGTCTTTGTGTACAAGGGTATGACAATACCGAATGACTTGGTGGCCTCCTACGACTTTGTCATCGAAAATGGAGTGCGGGTGCCAGCGGAGCGCCACCTCCGCGCCTGCGTCTGCAAACTGAAGCCGTGTGTGCGTTTCTGCTGTCCTCCTGGTCAGATGTACGACCTGCAGAGCCGTAACTGCCACGAGGTAAGTGACAGTCTGCCTCCGGCGCCCAATCAGACGCATCTACAGGTGGAGCTGCTCAACGGAACTCTCGTCCAAGTAGAGACAGAAGAGCAGTTCAGCGTCCATGTGGGGACGCCCTGCAACCACATGCGAGCAATCACAAAAGGCGCGGAATACGTCCACTGGACCCTGCACGAGGTAAATGAATCGAGCTCGTTATATTTCTTAGGGATACTATACTGTATTAACCCTCGTTTAACAGGCCCTCTTTCAATACGAATTCGGTCTCACTCGATTAAAACTTTGCTATCTTTTTCGCTTCTAACACGCTGAAAGCTTCGTTCTTAACCGATAAAAGTTGAAAATATTAAGAAAGAAGCGCATTACTTTAATACTAGTTAGATCTGAATGTTAAAGCAAAAGTTCGCACTTCCAAAACATACATACGTGACGGATTGCGTTTGGTTGATCTCCCTACCTTGCAAGATCGTAGAACCTGTCATGGTGTAGTTTTTATTCACATTTCTTATTTCTGGTATTCAATCCCCTAGTAACTTAAGCAGTAACATCCTTTTATACTTAACTAACCATCATTACACTTGCAATAATTTCGGCGACTAAAATACCCCTCTAAGATTAGTACTCTATTGCTACATTTCTTAATATTATTTTCTGTTTTGTTCCCTCTTTTTTATAAGTTTTCTTTTTCCTTGTTATGTAAAATGGCAGTATCATTTGCTATTAATTTCCAGAAAAATAAATAAATACTACTTCGAGTATATCAGGCGCTCTATATTTAAGATTTCGAATACAACTGCGACTGACTCCATCGATGAAATCAGTACTGGGAAGAAATTTCCTATTGCCTTGAATTGTTGTAGCTGCTTTCAACTTTTTTGTACGCTTAAAAATATTTTCCTTTTTATTAAGTTGAATCTGTTAGTGATAAATATTCAACACTTGGAGTAACTTTTTGTTTATTTCGAAAATGGCTGGACCTTGAAAACAGCGGAAATTTAAAAAGCAAAACTTTGCTGTGCATTTGCCGAGATCTAGGAACGTAACCCCATATTTTGCATGGAGTTCATGTCTCGTTTAACACGATTTCGCTTAACACGAGGCTTTCTAGGAACTCAATACTCAATCATTAGTCCACAGATTAATATGTCGCTTACACCTATCTCATCCCCCCTCATATAGAACGGCACAGTGACCCATCGTGGGCATCTCTTCTCCAAGCACTACTGCTTCACGCCCCTCATGCTACGGGCGAGTAGTTCCAGTTGGGATTGGCAGCCCTTGGCGTGCACCCCCGAGAAGCTGCACTTCGTCCTGGGCGTTCGGGAGTGGACATACGCCGTGTGTAAGTATCAGCCGCCCAATACTCGTAGGCTATCGATGTTATGATCTAACACAGCATATGGTTTTAATTGTGGCGAGAAATGTTCTTTGGGTCTTGCGGCCTTTTGAAATATTAACTAAAAATAGCCAGACAGAGCTAATAAAAATAATTATTTGAACAGTGCGAGCAATCAACGGAAAAACAATATGTTCTGCTGATCTGCGTTGCGATCGATCGACGACCAATTGACTCGCACATCGTAAATTGTGGTAAGCCAAGCGAAGCCGGTTGCGAAAATCTTGGAACAGATGTGATATGCTTGGCATTATCGGCATACGAGTACAAAAGGTGTAGTGTAGTTATACAAAAAGTCTTTAAATAATTACAATGACCCCAATATAAAATGCTGCAAAAGTGTTTTGGGAACACGCTCTCTACTCAATATTAGTACACTTTTAAACTAAGAAACAAAACAGGTTTATTTTCGATTTTATGTTGGAAGTCTTGACAAGATCTCTCATTTGAAAATGGTACTATAGTTCAGGTTTTATTGTGTGAGGCGCTTAGACCACCACTAATTTGAACTTTCTTTCACTCTTTCCCCACTACAGGCCTATTCATTTCGATTATTTCGATGTTTATTGTACTCATCGTTCATTTGTTGTGCACTGAAATGCGAAACACATTCTATGGAGTCGCCATCAAGGCCTACACGATCTGCATCATCGTTGGCTACTCACTGCTGGGCCACCTCACGCTTAATGATCCCGCAAACCTGTCTAAATCTGGGTGTCGTCTCATCCGTGAGTCCACCTCTTAGCTTCTTCTCGAGACTAGTTACTAATCCTATTTGATTCCACAGCCTGCTTCACCTTGCTCAGCTTAGTCCTGTCTTTCTACATTCTGAGCTTCATTTCGTTCAATTTGTATTTGAATTTTCACAATGTGATCCTCACGAAACTGATGTTCTGGCTGATCCTTGGTCCCATTGTGCTCATCGCAGTGGGCTGGTCCGTATTCGTGGGATTCAGCTATCAGGGTGCCAAGTTGGTTTTTGGCGGCGACACGTGCTGGTTCGATCGTAAGTAGAGGAGGACCTCGGTCCGTTTTGAAAAGATTACTTAATGTATTGCCCCCTTCAGCTAGGAACTGGTCCGTTATGGTCTATCTCTTTGCGCCGATCTTTATTGCCTGCGCCATTTGTGGCTTCTTCTACATCCTCACGCTAATTCGGATCAGCGAGTGCGACGAACTGGAGACCGAGAAGAATTTTGAATCATTGCAGGAGAATCGCTTCAAGTCGTTTTGGAAGTTCTTCGGCTATACGGCTCTTACCTGGTTTGTGTGCGTCTGCTCCTTCGCCATCAATTATTATCGAGACGAGCGGTCGCACCATAACTATGCCGTGTGCTTCTTTATGGCCTTCCATGGGTTTGCGGCGCTCTATGCGCTCATTGGCAAGAATCAGCAGATACAGAATTTCCTGCGGCGAATCGAGGATAATGTGTAAGGTATACAAGTAGGGTTGGAATGACTATTGACTTCTGATATGATCTCCATATATTTTCCAGAGATGAAGATGCGTGCGAGAACTCGGTGCCAATGAGGAGCTATTGAAGCTTAGCCCAGCGGGTCCAAAATTCCTGCTTTACAATCATTATCAACGATTAGAATGGAATTAGAGTGAAAATTGTTGTGTACTTTATATATCGTAAAATTGTTACTTATCACCACTATTTTTAATGTCGTATTCGTGGTGGTTGCTTGGTGTGGGGGACAGTTTTGGAAGCATCAAGGTGTCAGTCGATACAACAACCCATATTAATGGCCAATGTCCCTAATCTGTGGAAGCATTACGCCGAGCGAAGTAGCCAGCCTAAGAAAATGTTCAATGAATTGATAATTTTGCAGGAATTTATTCCAATAAATGTGATTACAAATTAATTGAACTCTGTAAATAACAAGTTACCTATTAAATGATTTAGTAAAGTTTGCAATTCATTATACAGTTTTAGAGGCAAGCCATTAGGTTGATTTCGAATGACACCAGTCGATACACGAATTCGTTTGTAACAAGACACCAGTCAAATAAATATAGTTACAAAATTTCAAAGAAATGTTCATTAAATTGGTAATTTTGCAGGAATTTATTCCAATAAATGTGATTACAAATTAGTTGAGCTCTGTAAATAACAAGTTAACAAGTCCTATTAAATGCTTTAGTAAAGTTTGCAATTCATTACACAGTTTTAGAGGCAAGCCATTACATCGAATTTCGCTGACACTCAGTCGATACACGAACCCGTTACTAGCAAGTCTCGAGCCGTTCGAAATAGCGCGGACACAGCCCGTCATGTTAATGCGCGGAATGGAACTTTTTCCACAAAAAGGCGTTAATATTTAAACTAAATATAGATTAAATTGTTAATATTAACACTAAATATAGATTGAATCGGAATATGTAAATGCTATAATCTCTGTTTGCCTGCGAATGTTGCTTTAACTCAACGAGCTTACACAAGAGTGTGAACTATTATTCAGATTGTATTCAAATTTGTAACCGCAAGTATTTGGAATATTTTATAATTCTTTACACACATGTTTTGATTTCAATTAACAAGTATAGTATAGTATTTTCATTACCTTTAAAAAATTCGGAATCAACTCTGGACAAAATTCAGGTTGAAGATCGGAAGTCGAGTCAAGGACTAGAATCCGTAGGATCTGTTGAATCTTTTAAGGCCCATACGAGTATATGGAGTGCCCCGAGGGGTCTGTACGTTTTATGAGAGCATTATGTTGTGCCTGCCATATAATAATTGCACACAGATTTCATTTTGGTTTGGCATCAGAGGTCAATGCCCGCCATGCAGCATACACACACACATAGACACACAGACACACGCACACACACAGATGCGCGCACAGGAGCAGAGAGCGAGCGCAAGCGAGAGTGCGAGTGTAGAGCGTAAATGAGAAAGGCCGCAAGGGAATGCCAGCTATGCCACTTGCATCCTGCCACATGCACACACACGCACACACACATACTCGTAAAAGTTTGCAATGCATGGAGCCCGAACCACCCGCATAGGCAGGCTGTCGGCTGTCAAGCGCAAGGAATCAAGTGGAAAGTGAAACGAGAGCCCAGCATCAGAATCAGCATCAGCATCGCCATCGCCATCCCTCCCAGTATGCTTCTTTTTGGTTTCTGTGGTGCTCTTTTGATGTGGCCTCGCCCGTCGTTCGTCGCCTGCCCGCTCCCCGCCTGCACCTGCACCTGCAGCTCGTCGCCGTAATCCTCGTCTCTTCTCGTCGCGTCTCGTCCCGTCCCGCCCCGTCTTGGACTCTCTGCTCTTTTGGCTGGGCGTACAGCAGCGGTCGCGTGTCCTGCGTCCTGTGTGCGCCGTGCTCTGTGCTCCCTGCGCTTGCGATGCTTACGATGCTTACGACGGCTTTCGAAGCTTTGCCGGCGCGTCTCGGCTTTTTGTGCAGTTGGGCTGTTGCGCCGTCGTTGGGCGGCATTTCGGGATACACACGACTATGTAGATACACACTCTGCCGGGCCATACACACTCGCACACACACACACACACACACACACACAGACAGAGGCGCCAATCGATAAAACGTAGTAAAAATTCGTAGTAGTGGAAGCTCTGGAAGCGTGGATGGAGCACGCGGCAGCATCCTGACGTGCGCACTGGAAACTTGTGCGAGGTAGGACATGTTTGGCGCGTTTTTAAAATGCACACAAACACACACATAATCTTGAGTGTGTGTGTGTGTGTGTGTGAGGTAGGTGTGCATATGTGTGACTGAGCGTAGGTGGTCGGGCAAACGACGCCGCCAAATGCCAACCGGAGAAAAATGCAAAATGTTGTTTTATAATTTCAAAGGCACACACACACACACACCCATACATATGTACATATAAGCCTGTGCATCTTGTGGCTATGAGAGTGTTAGTGTAGGGGAGTGTGGGGAAGCGGGCGGCACGGTGTTGGGTGTGCAGCGAACTCGAAACGGGTTAATATGCAAAACGAACTCGCAGTCGAAATGGGCTGTGGCTCCTCACCAAGAAAGTGGGGAAGATGCGAGGAAGCGACCGCGCCCGTTCAACGCTCAGCTCTAACAACGTCCCAAGCTCCCACCTGGGCAGCCCCTACTCCACCACGGCTTAGCAGCTCCAACGCCCAACGTCGCCAGAATGCAAATTAATTACTAAATGACTTTATGCTTTTTAATGCGCTGCCTGCCGGCATTTAAAGGATATTAGACAAGCCATTAAGCGATCCCGAACTCCCCTCAGTCTTCGCCAATACTTCCAACGCAAAACTCTGCTCAATATAGGAGCGCGAAGGCACCCCCTAACCCCCACCATTATTGGGGATGCTATATTGGTTTGGCTTCCATTTCGATACCAGGTGGAGCTCAGTTCATTATGCTCGTGTATGGGTGTGTGTGGACCAAGAATGGTTGGCAATATGGGAAGGGTCGCCTGTTTGTCAAAGTATAATTGAACTGCCTTGAATTGTCATAAAAATGTCTCGGGCTCTAGATTCGATTGGATTCGATTGTTGTAAAAAAGGTCAATTAATAATTCATTAAAATGCGCAAATATTGTAGCATAACTTATAGAACTTTAATGAAAGGCAAGTCGCGGCATATATGGGTATGATGAATCTGCTAAGACTCAACAGTCTGATAAGTTCACGACGAAAGTCAACTCTGAGTTGGCTTAAAAAAATTTAACGGCAATCAATACCAATATATTTGGGACATTCTTTTAAAATCGGCAAATTTGTGTGCAAATAGTTTATTTGTCATAACATAAGAAAGTTTAATTGCAAACAATAACCTGTATTATTATTATATAAATATTTAATTCACTATCCAATACGTAGCCAAATATGGTCAAAAACTCCAAAAAAAAACACTATGGTAAACACTAGGGTAAATGCAAATAACCCTGAATGTTTTTTAATCACTCTTCTAAATTCTTCTAGTGAGTCTTAAAAAGTAAAAAAAAACTCTTTAAGTGTACAATTTTTGTTTTCCTATTTTCTTTGTTAATTTACTAGTTTAGTGCAAGTGTATGTAAAATACAAAAGGAGGCGTGGCAGACCCTACAAAGTATATATAATTTTGATTAGAGTGATAAGCCGAGTAGTTATAAGCATGTATGAATGCAAGGATCTCAGAAAGTATAAGAGCTAGACTAACCAAACTTGGCACCAGATTCTCCTGAGTCCGAGAAATGTCAAGTTTGTGAAAAATAAATTTTTAAAATACATTTTATCATTTTTTTTTTGTTTTAGTATTTTGTGGCAGAAAAAGAAATTGATTTTCAGGAGCTCCGACTTCTGATAGGCCAACACAGCACAGTTGGTCTTGGGACTTGTTAATAGCCATCACGAAAGATGTTTTTACAGGAAGTTGAAGCTGTTTCAATGGGATAAACAGATCAGTTACGATCATCACCATGGGCCGTTGATAATACAGTAAAGTTGTCCTTCAATTCCTAACTAAGCAGCCTCGTCCAATTGCACATGTTTGGAGGGCTTCAATTTCTTAAAAGCAATTCAATTCATGTGGCGACAGTCCAGAAGGGTTTAGTGATTTTAAGAATTCCTGTGAGTAATGAACTGTGTCTTCAATATTTGTCATTTGCCGATCGATCTGTAAGTTTATATTATAATGATAACATTGCCTTAATATTTAAAACGACATAATGTTTCGAAGATGATCCTGAAGTAAAGGTATCCTCTTCAGGAACATAATTTTTTAGGTAATTTTTTTAAACATTGGGTTACATTATTGGAGTTTTAGTAAGGATTCCATTCTTTTTGCTAATATAATATAGCCTATGTTACCCGCGGATAGTGTTGCTTCCCAACAGTGAAAGAATTCTTTCAATCGGTCCAGAAGTTTCAAAGCCTATTTAATTTAAGCAAACGAAGAAACAAATAAACAAAACAACAAAATCTTTCATTTTTTCTAATATTAATTTATAATTGGCTACAAACTTTATCTTAAAAGCTTTGTATAAAGCTGTCTGTTATAAGTATCTACATACATTATAATAACCTGTCTGAGTATAAATTTATTCATTATTTCAAATATTTAATATTCCTTATGTATATGCTTATTCTTCAGTGCCTGCTCGATCGTCCGGTTAAGCAGAGATCCCGCACTTAAGCAGTAGTTTCTAGTCCTCACTTGTATTGTATGTTCGTTGAGAATTGAGATCCAAAAAACTTACTTCACGAGCTCCATAGAAATTAGTTCTGAGGGTGCAAATAAGCGTTATTATATAAGCATATTCGCCGCATCTGTCGCACATTATATCTTAAATATTAAAAAAAAAATCAAAAGCCAAGCAGAGTCATAATATTATGAAATGAATGGCATGTCGAAAACTTTCATGTCATTCATTAAAAATCCGGGCACGAATACAAACTCAAATAAAATAAATAACTTTTAATTCAGCATTTGAGAAATTTACAACTTAATTTATGTTCATAAATGTACAACGAGCAATTGACCAAAGAAACACCACATAAATAAATAAGAAGAAAAAACTGTTGAATTGTAATTTATGAACAATGAAAAGTACGCATACGTATGGGTGTACGTGTGTGTATGTTGTGTGTGCGGTGTGCTGTGCTGTGGTGTGGTGTGGCGGGACGTGGGCGTGCAAGTCCAAAAAATTAAGCACAGAA